TCCGGCATTTCAGCTGCTATTAATCCCCCATGTAATAAAGGACAGCCAACGGCGAGAGACACCTACATCCATCTCTGTGCATTTGTGACAGATGGAAGCCTAAGCAGAATGAGCAATGATGTCCCAGTTCTCTCAGCGCCTTGGAAAATAATCAGCATCTCCCATAACAATGTTCGCGCCTGTCAGTACTTTCTAATTCCGAACTTGAATCCGTCTTCCTTTCTTCCTTCCGTCTGCCGGAGAAGCGCCCGTTTTCTGCAAAGCGGGCTTATTAATATATCAGAGGCTGATACAAACCCAGGTTTCCCTCTTTCTCCGCTGCCCCGCTAGCTCGGATCCGAGCGACGAGCTCCGGCTTATTGGCAGAGTGGAAGGGCATTCAGCACCCGACTTGGCACGTTGGCGCCATTTATCACAGGAAGGCTGTGCATGACAGATAACCTAGTTTTTTTAGTGTTTCTTTCTTTTTCTTTTTTTTGTGCTAGCCTGCTAGAATATTCACAAGGCTGCCTGGTGGGCGCCAGGTCGTTCCTCTGCAAATCAGCACCCGGCCAACACCAGAGGAGTAACAATGAAGTCGGAAGCTTCTTGTGACACGCCGGGCCTGCGAGTCAAAGTCAGCCGCATGTCATGTACATCTTGAGTGACATTTGGGGGGTTTATGTGGCTCCCAGTCAGGGGTGGGCTTCAAAAATTTTAACAAGAGGTTCTCTGCCCGGTTGCTGGGTGGGCGTGGCTCAGTTGGCCTTCTGCACCACGGCGGGGTGTGTGTGTGTCATTTTGCCCTCCCCGGGCTCCAGGGGCTTTCCTTGAGCCTCTGGGAGGGTGAAAACGGCCTTCCCAGGCTCCAGAGGCCCTCTGGTGGCCCAGTAGGCCTGTTTTTCACCCTCCCTGAGCATCTGCGCACGCCCTGCATTTACCTGCATCCAAAACAGGCTGTGTGGGGACTCCTGGGAGGGAAGGGGAGGGGTGGGCAGGACCAGCCAGGAGTTGGATTTGGGGGTTCTCCGAATTGCACAGAATCTTAGCTAGAGGTTCTCCTGAACCCCTGCTCCCAGCCCACAGCAAGGCACACTCGATTCAGTTGCAACAGGGCAAGTGTTAGGGAGACAGCAGTTTTCTGCCATTTCTGGTGCAGCCATTTGGGAATTGGTGGAGTATAAAGACACATCTTTCTAACAGCCTCCCCCCTATTTCCATAAGCCTATCTCAGGACACCTCTGATGTCAGAAGATGCTGCGAAAAAGGTGGTTATATATCAGGGGAAAACATATAGCCCTACTTGCTCTGTGTGTGTGTCTGTACATGTATTAGATGGTGATGTTATTCTATTCCATATATGCCACGTGCTGACCGCTCACAATGGATCTGCAAGATCCTTGAAACCTTTTCATGCGGATAAGGCCTAACTGCATTTTGAAGCTTTTGCAAAATTGCATTGGGTGGAGAACATTTGTGGGGTTAGAGAGGGGTCTTCTGTTAGTGCCCACTTCTGGAAAGGAAGGAGGGATAGATATCAAATAGATGGATGGATGGATGGATGGATGGATGGATGGATGGATAGATAGATAGGCAAACAGGCAGACAGACAGATGATAGATAGATAGATAGATAGATAGATAGATAGATAGATAGAGCTAGAGAGAAAGAGACAGAGATAGACATAGACATAGACAGACAGATAACCTTAACCTCCTTTCAAGATATGCTGGGAAACTTCTAGGTCAACCTAGCCCAGGGATCAAGAACAGATGCCCAATATATGCATAGAGGGTGACAGGTAAGGGATGGCTAAATTGCACCATCAAGGGATTTAAGAAGAGAACCAAATTTATTGCTAACAATCACACCTTGCAAGCAAAAGCACAGAGGGAAACTCTACCCAGAAGAGGTAAACCGCCCCTAGAAAGGCGGCCATCTTTGTGGAATAAAGCTTAAATTGTTCCTCAGGTACTGCAAGGAAAAAAAAGGAAAGGAAAGGAAAGGAAAGGAAAGGAATGGAATGGAATGGAATGGAATGGAATGGAATGGAATGGAATGGAATAGAATAGAATAGAATAGAATAGAATAGAATAGAATAGAATAGAACGGAACGGAAACGAACGGATGGACGAACGAACGGAACGGAATAGAATAAACAGAATATTGGAATTAAGAATAGAATAGAATAGAATAGAATAGAACAGAACAGAACAGAACAGAACAGAACAGAATAGAATAGAATAGAACAGAACAGAATAGAGAATGTAAATATAGAATAGAATAGAATAGAATAGAATAGAATAGAATAGAATAGAATAAGGGATAGCGTAGGATAGGGTAGGGTAAGGTAGAATAGAATAGAATAGAATATGGAATATGGAATATGGAATATGGAATGGAATGGAATAGAATAGAGAATAGGAAATAGAATAGAATAGAATAGAAAATAGACTAGACTAGACTAGACTAATAAATAAAATAAAATAAATAATAAAGTAAAATAAAATAAAGTAAAATAAAATAAAATAAAATAAAATAAAATAAAATAAAATAAAATAAAATAAAATCAAATCAAATCAAATCAAATCAAATCAAATCAAATCCGTCCAGCCTTTTCTTCTTTCTTTGTGGCGATGTCTGCTGCACCTGGGCCAGCGTTTCTCAACTTCAGCACCTTCCCGATGGGCGGCCTCCAACTCCCAGAACTGTTGAAGCCCATCCCTCTTAAAAGATGCTGAGGTTGAGAAGCTCTGCCCTTAGACCCAAACCGAGCTACGGTCATTTAATTCCTCTACTAGGAGATCGAAAGGATGGGCCGAGTTAGGAAACTGGAAACCGTATTTCTCTGAACCCAGAAGGGCACGAACCGGCTTTCCCCCTTTCACACGTCATCAAAGGCGAATTAGTCAGCGTGCCTCGCCAAACGCTGCCTTGGGATCCGGCCCTGGCTGCCATTCCGGAGAAACAAAACCCGGCTCTGATTATTCCTCCTTCGTAAAGAGTCCACTGGCAGGGAGCATAAAGGGAGGGAGGGAGGGAGGGAGGGAGGGGAGAGCAAAGCAAAGCTGTTTTTCAACCAATTATCCAGATGCCTGCAGGTCTCCCATTTCCAGGGACGGAGGAAGCAATGAGCTGAGATGATTGGCAAGGTTCACCGCATTCAAGTCATTCACTGGAGGGAGTTAATTAACGCTTTGCGGAGAAGCTGGGAGCAAGGCCTGGTTCAGCAGAGATAGCAGGTAGGAAGGACTCCGAGGGATAATTAACAAGAAGCCGACAAAAGCTTCCGACCGAGGAGAGCCTCGGTCGTCTCTACGCCATTCAGCGGCTTCTGAAGGTACTTCCACCACTGGAACACTAAATCTCAAGATATTGACAACGTAGAACAGGGGTGTCAAACTCAATTTCATTGAGGGCTGCATCAGGGCTGTGGTTGACCTCGGGGGGGGCGCGTGGCCGACTGGGTGGGCGTGGCCAGATGGGTGGGCGTGGCCAGCTTGACGCCACTCCCGAAACTGCTTGCCCGATGTTTCCTCTTCGCATTGGGTAGACCGGGACGAAGCGATGCAGGTCGGCCACTTACATTTTCTAGGACGGCCCCACGGGCCGCATCTGACCACATCGCGGGCCGCATCCGGCCCACAGGCCTTGAGTTTGACACCGCTGACGTAGAACATAGAACTTCTAACAGATTAACCGAGTTGGAAGGGACTTTGTAGGTCATCTACTCCAAGTCTTTGCTCATGGGAGTCTATGACCATTTGTCATGGCCAACTGACCACAGCTTAGTCACCACACCCAACTGGCCAACTCGCTGTAGGACAACTTGCCATGGCCATATCGCCGCAGGGCAACTCGTTGCAGGACAAGAGTGAAAAGAAAACGTGAAATAGAATCATTAAAGAAGATGCAAAAGGAGGGACAGAACGAAATGGGAACGGCAAAGATTAAAACCATTTTTTTATTTATTTTAAATCATTAAATAGAATTGTTAAATTGTCCTGTAGTTGAGTTGTCCCATGGCCAGTGAGCCATGGCGAGTTGTCCTGCAGAAAGTTGCCCATGGTGAGTTGGCTGCAGCACATTGGCTTTGGCGAATTGTCTCATTCCTCTTGTTCCAGGCAGGAGTCCATATCCCAATCCTGGCCAACTGGTTGTCCAATCTTTTCTTGAGAACCTCCAGCAATGGAGCCCCCAACAACTCCGGGAAGCAAACTCTTCCACTGATTGTTCTCATTATCAGAAAACTTCTCTTGCAGTTGAATTTCTCTTTAACAACATTTCCACCCATTATTCCTTGTCAGAAAGGTGCTTTGGAAAACAGGTCAACCCTCTCTTCTATGGGATAGCCCCTCAAGTACTAGAACAGGGGTCTCCAACCTTGGCAACTTTAAGCCTGGTGGACTTCAACTCGCAGAATTCCCCAGCCAGCAAAAGGAGTTGAAGTCCACCAGGCTTAAAGTTGCCAAGGTTGGAGACTCCTGTTCTAGAAGACAGTTATCATGTCCCCACTCAATCCTTCTTTTTTTTTGTTAAACTAGACATACCTAGTTCTAGATGAAATAATACCTAAAATCCAAGCAGATGGGAGAAGAGTGTTGGTTAGAAGCTTACAAGTAAGGGCTCCCTGTATTAGTTTTGAGATTTTTTAAAAAACAATGGACTGAAATTGGAATAGGAGGGATGTGGGGTACACATTTCTGCAAATGCAGCTTTCTTTCCTTTTGCAGCTTTTCCAAGAGTAACCTGGTTTTCTCTGAATATGTATTTTATTTTCATGAATACAGGCAGAAAAGCTTTTCCCCAGTGCATTCCCCCCACCCCCCACCCGGGAGTCAAACCGCATTGCAAAGTTTGCAGAAACCAGAATTTTGAAAGGCACAAAATGGGGGTTGGTTCAGGCATTGGTTCCAAGATAAGATAGGAAGTTTGCATTCGAAGGGGAACTCATTTCTCCGGGCGTACGGACGTCTAGGTTGACCCGCCCTTTCGCCACCTACGTCTCTGGGGAAACTCACCTGAAGAGCAACCTTTCCAAATGGTTCTGGGGCTTAAGCCCAGCGGTGTCAAGGACGAAAGCAGACCTTGGGTAAGGAGGAGGCCTGAAAATATTTTCGCCAGGGTGCACAATCGGGATGGTACCAGAGCTAATGGAGAATTGCTCCAAGACCAATCTGGGGGGGAAAAAAAGATAAAAATAGGTTTTCAGAAATAGCTGAAAGGGTGGCAGTGAGGGAATGAGGGAGAAGGAAGGGAGGGAGGAAGGAAGGGAGGGAGGGAGGAAGGACGGAAGGAAGGAAGGAAAGAAGGAAGGAAGGGGGGAGGAAGAAGGGAGGGAGGAAGGGAGGAAGGAAGGACGTAAGGAAGGAAGGAAGGAAGGAAAGAAGGAAGGGGGGAGGGAGAAGGGAGGAAGGGGGGAGGGAGAAGGGAGGAAGGAAGGAAGGGAGAAGGGAGGGAGGGAGGGAGGAAGGGAAAAGGGAGGGAGAAGGAAGGGAGGGAGGGAGGGAGGAGAGGGAGGGAAAAGGGAGGGAGGGAGGGAGGAAGGAAGGGAGAAGGGAGGGGGAGGGAGGGAGAAGAAGGGGAGGAAGGAAAGAAGGAAGGGAGAAGGGAGAGAGGAAGGAAGGAAGGAGGAGGGAGGGAGGGAGAGAGGAAGGAAGGGGGGAGGGGAGAGGGGAGGAAGGAGGGAGGAAGGGAGGGAGGGAGGAAGGAAAGGAGAAGGGAGAGAGGAGGAGGAAGGAAGGGGGAGGGAGGGAGGAAGGGAGAAGAGAGGAAGGAAGGAAGGGGGAGGGAGGGAGAAGGGACGGAGGGAGGAGAAGGGGAAGGAAGGAAGGGGGGGGGAGGGAGAAGGGAGGGAGGGAGGAAGGGTGGCAGGGAGAGAGGAGGAAGGAAGGAAGGGGGGAGGAAGAAGGGAGGGAGGAAGGGAGGAAGGAAGGACGTAAGGAAGGAAGGAAGGAAAGAAGGAGGGGGGGAGGGAGAAGGGAGGAAGGGGGGAGGGAGAAGGGAGGAACGAAGGAAGGGAGAAGGGAGGGAGGGAGGAAGGGAAAAGGGAGGGAGAAGGAAGGGAGGGAGGGAGGGAGGAGAGAGGGAGGGAAAAGGGAGGGAGGGAGGGAGGAAGGAAGGGAGAAGGGAGGGGGAGGGAGGGAGAAGAAGGGGAGGAAGAAAAGAAGGAAGGGAGAAGGGGAGGGGGAGAGAGGAAGGAAGGAAGGAGGAGGGAGGGAGGAGAGAGGAAGGAAGGGGGGGGAGGGAGGAAGGAGGGAGGAAGGGAGGGAGGGAGGAAGGAAAGGAGAAGGGAGAGAGGAAGGAAGGAAGGGGGAGGGAGGGAGGAAGGGAGGAGGAGAGGAGAAGGAAGGAAGGGGGAGGGAGGGAGAAGGGACGGAGGGAGGGAGAAGGAAGGAAGGGAGGGGGAGGGAGAAGGGAGAGAGAGAGGAGGAAGGAAGGAAGGAAGGAAGGAAGGAAGGAAGGAAGGAAGGAAGGAAGGGACAAGTGAAAAGCAAGATGAGGGAAGGCTTCATTACTGAGTAATATAATTTAATATAAAAAAGTGACTTTTTTTTTTAAAAAAAGGATCAGTTCTTGCTAAGGGCTCCTCTTCTGACAACACCCCCCCCCCCCACTACCGAATGATTTACTGACCAGCTGCCATGGAGGCCAGTTCTCACCTGAACCTCTGGGCCTTCTGTACAATTTATTTCCCTGATTTATTCCACGCGGCTGATAGGCCGTTCCAATCAGAAACAACCGCCACCGAGTTTCCGAGCCCCGTTTCCAAGGATCGGTTGAGCTCCAGAAATAATAAAGAGAGAAAGTGATTGGGACTTTCTCGCCCGAAGCCCAGGAAACGTGGAGCTTAATAACAAAATCTTGTTACCATCCAAAGGAGCAGAGGAGAGAGGGGGGACAGGCAGAGACGATGAAATGGAAGTCCTCCGGGTACCGCACCGGCATTCATAATATCGGTTCTGCCTATTTCAGACCTTCAGGTCTTTTATCAAAAGCCCTGACAAAGTGAAGGACTTTTCGGGGGGTCCTTGGGAAAAACATGCTGGCCAATAGCGTACAGTTAGTCCTCGACTTACGACCATCATTGAGCGAAAACGTCTGCTGCTAAGTGAGGCATTGGTTTAAGTTCAGAATTTGGCCCCGTTCTACGACCTTATGTTGTGACCGAGGCCCAAGTAGTTATTACCAGACACAATCAGTCCTAAACAAACGTATTTTATTAGAACAGCTGAGAATTACTTCTTTCTCAGCTTAGTCCAAATCAAGTCCAAAACGAATTCTTTGGAAACAGTCCTTCGGCCTTATCACCAACCATTATCTACTTTGGCACCCTGCCAAAGGTTTTTCTTGGCAAAACCCCACAAAGTTTAGAAGAGATGCTGACAAGAAACAAATGTAGCAACGTTGCTTTCCTACAAAGATCCCAAGAGCCATTGCTGCTCTTTGAAGCCTTCTGGGAGGGGCCAATCATCTCATGGCCTTACTCCTGAGTCGTCCCTTTTGCTTCAGCTGCTCTTGACTTCTGGCAGCTCTTCGCATGCGCGCTCTAGGAACAGGCTCCTCCTGTTCCTCTGCCTCTCTGCTATCCACCTCTGGAGGCTCCGGAGTCCGCGCATCGCTCCCAGATGGCCCTGGCCCCATCTCTGCCTCCGACGCAGAGCCCTCGTCTGGGCCTTCCCCAGACTCCAGTACTGGCCCATTGTCCTCCGCAGCCTCCTCACTGTCCGACTCCGCTGCCAGCTCCACAGGCTGCTGGCGGACCACAACACCTTACTTGACACCGTTGTGAACCGCCGCAGTTGTTGAATTACTAATACGGCTCTTAAGTGAATGTGGCTTCCCCATTGACTCGGTCATGTTAGCAACGGTTATTTTACAACTTTCTATGGGAACCTGTACTGCGTACGGACACACACACACACACACACACACACACACACACACAAACACACACACACAGAGACACAAAGAGCCTCTTCAAATGTTGAGGGTCTCCATCAACATCTGAAGAGGCTTTTGAGATGTGTGTGTGTGTGCCAGTAGTGGTATTCACTTACATTCACTACCAGTTCGGAAATGTGAGTGCTCACGCGCGCTCACAAGAGCGTCTGTGATGATGTCTGGGTGGGTGGGTGGAACCTGCCACCGCCGCTACCAGTTCGGCCAAACCAGGTAGAACCAGTAGAATCCCACCACTGGTGTGTGTGTGTGTGTGTGTGTGTGTATGTGTGTGTGTGTGTGTGTGTGTGTGCGGACTACAGGTCCCCATGGAACAGTGATGGCGAACCTTTTCGGCACTGAGTGCTCAAACCGGAACGTGCGTGCATGTCTGCGCGCCGGAAATCCGAAGACCAGCTGGCCGGTGCGCATGAGCACACCAGCCAGCTGGTCTTCGCACACGCCGGAGCACCAGAAACCTGAAGGCCAGCTGGCCGACACGCGCATGCCTCTTTTTTGGCTGTTTTTCGGGCCATTTTTCAGGCCGTTTTTGGCATTCTGGCATCCGTAAAGACCAGCTGAAACCAGAAGAGCAGCTGGCGACTTGCACGCGTGCCCATAGAGAATTCTTACTTAATTTATTTAAGTTATTTAAATTCTTATGGCATTTCCGGATCCCTGCAGAAACGGATAGTTGAGTTCCTGTCAAACAGGCAATAAATAGTCAAAATAGGGAGGGCCCTGTCAAATCCGGCACAAGTTAACAGTGGTGTCCCCCTGTCCTACTCTCCCCATTTATTTGTATTCATTTCCCTCGTTCACGTCCATGTTCATATTCATACCTGCTATCTTGTACATGTTTGACAAACAAATAAACAAACAAACAAACAAATAAATAGAAAAGGCCCGCGTGCCATAGGTTAGCCATCACGGCCATAGAAAGTTGTAAAATGCCTCAATCAAAATTGCCCATCTTGGTGGATGGGCATCCAGGCCGTCTTTGAGAGAGGGTCCCTATGCAAGAACTGAAGAGGAGGAGGAGAATCTCAAGTCTTGGAACCTGGGCGATCTTCCAGTCCACCCATCCCGGGGTGAAATCCAGCAGGTTCTGGAGAACCGGTAGCGGAAATTTTGAGTAGTTCAGAGAACCGGCAAATACCACCTCTGGCTGGCCTCAGAGTGGGGTGGGAATGGAGATTTTGCAATATCCTTCCCCCAGGAGTGAGGAGGGAATGGGGATTTTGCAGTATCCTTCCCCTGGAGTGGGGTGGGAATGGAGATTTTGCAGTATCCTTCCCTGCCACGCCCAGCAAGCCACACCATGCCCACAAAACTGGTAGTAAAAAATTTTGGATTTCACCACTGACTCATCCCCTCCTGGTCCTCTCTGGGCAGCTGCAGAGAGAGCCCTCTTAACACCCACCTCTGAGTATCGAGCAAAGAAGCTTCGGTTTCTTCACTGGCCTCCCCGGCATTGGACCACTTCGAGAAGAGCAGCTCGCATCCCAAGCTTCTTTCCAGCTCTCTCTCTTCTCGTATGTGCTCTCTAAAAAGTGGAAAAAACACAAGAGAAGTACAGGGTGAAACGGGGCTGAGCACAGGGGAGGGAAAAAGAACAGGGGCCAGTAATTGGGCAGCTAGCCGAAGGCCCCCCCCCAAAAAAACCCTTTTTTTTCCCAGACAGAAATCAGACTCTACTAAACCCATCACCCTAGAGATCACTTAGTCCAACCCCCAGATCAAAGTAGAATTCCCCATTGACCACACTTGGAATATTGCATCCACTTTTGATCGACAGGATGTAAAAAAGATGTGGAGACTCTAGAAAGAGTGCAGAGAAGAGCCACAAAGATGATTAGGGGACTGGAGGCTAAAAATATGAAGAACGGTTGCTGGAACTGGGCATGTCTAGTTTAATGAAGAGAAGGACCCGGGGAGACATGATAGCAGTCTCCCAGTATCTCAGGGGCTGCCCCAAAGAAGAAGGAGTCAAGCTATTCTCCAAAGCACGTGAGGGAAGGACAAGTACCAATGGGTGGAAACTAAATAAGGAGAGAAACAATTTAGAACTAAGGAGAAATTTCCTGACCATTAGAACAATGAATCAGCAGAACAACTTGCCTCCAGAAGTTGTGAATGCTCCAACACTGAAAGTTTTTAAGAAGATGTTGGATAACCATTTGTCTGAAGTGGTGTAGGGTTTCCTGCCTAAGCAGGGGGTTGGACTAGAAGACCTCCAACGTCCCTTCCAACTCTTCTCTCTTCTCTTCTCTTCTCTTCTCTTCTCTTCTCTTCTCTTCTCTTCTCTTCTCTTCTCTCTCTTCTCTTCCCTTCCCTTCCCTTCCCTTCCCTTCCCTTCCCTTTCCTTCCTTCCCTTCCCTTCCCTTCCCTTCCCTTCCATTCCGCCTTCCTTGGAAGTCCCTTCCTGAGACAGCCTATTGCACTGGCCGACAGCTTGTAGAGTCAGGAAGGGCTCAAGGTTACAAGACTGTCAGCAACCGGACTGTTCCCCACCGGAAGTGATGGGAAAGCTATTTATTTCCTGAAATAATGAAGGTGAAGCCTCCTATAACTGCTGCAAAATAGCAAGGAGGAAACTTGTTTTATTCATAACAGATGAGCCTCCATAACAGATGAGCAAGTTTCCTCCTTGCTATTTTGCAGCAGTTATAGGAGGCTTCACCTTCATTATTTCAGGAAATAAATAGCTTTCCCATCACTTCCGGTGGGGAACAGTCCGGTTTCTTATTTACAAGAAGAAGAAGAAAAACACCTGCAGAATTCTTATCAGCTTCCAAACCATCCGTTACATGAGAGGTCCAGTCCAACATTCAACAGGTCAACTAAAATCAGGGAATCAGCGCGGCGCTGGCTGATTTCATCTCCTACAAGTAAGCTGTGGTTTATTCAAGTCCCATTAAACCCTGATCGGTTAAATAAGCCATATTATTGACTCGATTCTTACGAATCATTAAGCTGGGGCCAAAACGCATCGGATGCCTTTGGCACAGTGTATCCCGCTGGCTCAGGTGAAGGCCCTCCACTCAACGGCTTCAACTGCACAATCCTTTCACGCCGAGCGCTTCCTCTGTTGGGTACTGAGCCAACGCACGTCCTGCCTGCTGTGTTGATGAGCTGCACGGTGGAGAAACCCAATCAGCAGAAGGATGATTGAGTTAACACCATGTAATGCCTCTCCTGCGCGAGCTGCACTGGCTCCCGGTGGTCTTCCGAGTGCGCTTCAAGGTTTTGGTTATCACCTTTAGAGCGCTCCATGGCTTAGGACCTGGTTATTTACGGGACCGCCTGCTACCACCAATAGCCTCCCACCAACCAGTACGCTCCCTTAGAGAGGGGCTCCTCCGGGTGCCGTCGGCCAAACAATGTCGACTGGCGGCCCCCAGGGGGAGAGCCTTCTCTGTGGGGGCACCTACAATCTGGAACGAGCTCCCCCCGGAGATACGGAGGATCTCGGATCTGCGCACCTTCCGTCGCGCGCTTAAGACGTTCCTATTTCATCAAGCTGGCCTGGCCTAAATTTTCCTTTTTTAAATGGGAATTTTAAATTTGGTTTTAAAGTATTGGGGTTTTAAATTTGTTCAGCCAAATTATTTAATTCATTTTATTCTATTTTAAATTTTGTATTTATATTGTTTTATTTTATGGCTGTTCACCGCCCTGAGTCCTTCAGGAGTAGGGCGGTATACAAATTCAATAATAATAAAAAAAAAGATCTTGTACTACAAACCCTCTCGGGCCAAATTGGTGAGCGACTGTGGAGCAGAGAACTTGGGCAAACCCGCTGATTCAAATTTCAAATTCAGAATAGAGCGGGAAGGGACCTTGGAGGTCTTCTAGTCCAGCCCCCTGCTCAAGCAGGAGAACTTATACCCGTGATGGCGAACCTATGGCACGGGCGCAACAGGTGGCACAAGGGGCCATATCAGTGGGCACGCGAGCGTTTCCGTAGCTCAGCTCCAGCGCGCATGCGTGCACCAGTCAGCTGATTTTGGGGTCTTCCAGTCCCACCGGAAGTTGGGAAATGGGCTGTTTCCGGCCTCCAGAGGGCCTCTGGGAGGGTGGGAAGGCTGTTTTTGCCCTCCCCAGGCTCCTAGAAAGCCTCTGGAGCCTGGGAAGGGTGAAAAACGGGCCTACCAGGCCCACCGTTCCATCGCGTGCTAAAAGCAGAGGGCCGCAGGGGGGGTCGCGCGCACAGGGGGAGGGCGCATTGAATTATGGGTGTGGGCATGCATGTGGGCGACCTCCCCATGCTCCCTACGCTTTTGGCACGCAACGGCAAAAAGGTTAGCCATCACTGACCTATACCATTTCAGACAACTGTCCAATCTCTTCTTAAAAACCTCCAGTGAGGGAGCACCCCACAAGTTCTGGAGGCAAGACGTTCCACTGATTAATTTTTCTCCCTGAGAAGCCTCCACAATACAGGTAGTCCTCAGGTTATGACCACAGTTGGCACCAGAATGTTTTGTTTGCTAAGCAAGGCAATTGAGTGGCGTGGTGGCCAAGTGGTGAAGACGCTCGCCTCCCACTTGGAAGGTTGAGAGTTCAATCCTAGGGAGGGGCAGATATTCATCTCAGAGAGCGCAAAGAGAAAATATCTGCTGTGAACTCCGCATAGGCGTCAGGAAGGGCATCCGGTCAGTAAATACTCAACGCCATCCAGTTGCCCTGACTCTACCCCAGATGAAGGGATTAGAGAGTCATCGTAAAAAGGGAGTTTTTTTTTTTTAAGCAAGGCAGTTGTTTAAGTGAGTTGCCCCCAATTTGACAACCTCTTTTGCCACGGTTATTAAGGGAATCACTGAAGTTGCTAAAATGAATTAAGTCGTTAAGTGAATCCAACTCCCCCCTCCCCTTGACTTGGATTGTCAGAAACCAGCTGTGAAGGCCGCAAATGGCATTCATAAGACCCCGAGACACTGCAAGTATCACGAATCATGGTTGCCAGGCTCCTGAATTTTGATCATGGGACCACGGCGAAGTTGCAGTGGTCGTAAAGGTGAGGATTGGTTATAAGTCACTTTTTTTCGGTGCCGCAGTTGCTGAAGAAATGGTCTTATTGTCAAGGACTACCTGCATTTATGAGCCACGGTGGCGCAGTGGTTAGAGTGCAGTACTTGCAGGCTCCTTCTGCTGACTGCCGGCTGACTGCAATTTGGCAGTTCGAATCCCACCAGGCTCAAAGTCGACTCAGCCTTCCATCCTTCCGAGGTCGATAAAATGGGGACCCAGATTGTTGGGGCAAGAGGCTGACTCTCTAAACCGCTTAGAGAGGGCTTTAGAGCACTGTGAAGCAGTATATAAGTCTAAGTGCAATTGCCCTTCTTCCTTCCTTCCTTCCTTCCTTCCTTCCTTCCTTCTTCCTTCCTTCCTTCCTTCCTTCCCTCCCCTTCCTTCCTTCCTTCCTTTTTCTTATTCCCTTTCTCCTTCTCCTTCCTGGTGCCACAGTGGTTTGAAGCCAGTATTGCAGGCAGACTCTGCCCACTGCCAGGAAGTTCGATCCTGATCTGCTCAAGGTTGACTCAGTCTTCCCTCCTTCCGAGGTGGGTAAAATGAGAACCCAGATTGTTGAGGGCAAGAGGCTGACTCTGTACAGAGGGCTGTAAAGCACTGTAAAGCGGTATATAACTCTTAAGTGCTATTGCTATTGACATCTTCCCAAACTGGTGCCATAAACATATCCTGAAAACGGGTGCCTTGAAGTTCTGCTCTGGTGAGAAATATTTCATTTATTAACGGATTTAAACGCTATTGACTCATGCAGACTCATGTGGCGCATTAGCCAAATCCCACAATAAATCGACCACAAAAACAGTTAAAAGCCTAAATCCCCCCCAGAATGACTGAGCCACAATTAAAACATTCCCAACAACGCCACAACTAAACTGCTTAGGGTTCAGTAGCAATAAAAGGACAATGCGCCCTCAAGAACCATAAATATCATATCACTGTCAATGACAACTCCACAGCAGCCAAAGTGAAAACTTAATCCTGTTTAACAAGCAGCTTAACTTGCACCATTCCAGCGTTTCCATAGCATCTCAAATGAATTTATTGCTTTGTGACAAGAAGAAACTAGAGGGACGGTAGACTCCCAAAGAGCAGAAATACAAATTAAGTTCCTTTCGGCTCAAGGGATGTTGAGAATGAAGTGGAAGGACGACGTGGAAGAGAGATGGAAAGAAAGTCAAGAAAAGTACGGCAGGAATTAATGACATTGTAATTTTCCCCTGCTCTAAAACTGCCTTTTTCCAGGTTGCATTTTGGATTTTCCACAGACCACCCAAGTACCAACCCCAATCCTTTTGGGCAGTGGTGAAATCCAAATTTTTTTACTACGGTTCTGTAGGGTGTGGCTTGTTGGGCGTGGCTTGTTGGGCGTGGCAGGGGAAGGATACTTTTTTTTTTAATTTGATTTATATGCCGCCCTTCTCCGGAGACTCAGGGGGCTTACAATGCGTTAAGCAATAGCCTTCATATTTTTGTATATTTATACAAAGTCAGTTTATTGCCCCCATAATCTGGGTCCTTTACCTACCTTAGAAAGTATGGAAGGCTGAGTCAACCTTGAGCCTGGTGAGATCTGAACTTGCAGTAATTGCAGGCAGCAGATGTAAGTGGATGTTAATTAGTCTGCTGGGCCACCAGAGCTTCTACTGCAAAATCTCCATTCCCTCCCCACTCCAGGGGAAGGATACTGCAAAATCTCCATTCCCACCCACTCCAGGGGAAGGATACTGCAAAATTTCCATTCCCTCCCCATTCCAGGGGAAGGATACTGCAAAATCCCCATTCCCTCCCTACTCCAGGGGAAGGATACTGCAAAATCCCCATTCCCTCCCCAGCCACACCTTGTATCTTTCTAGGAACAGGGCTCTCTATACCTACTTAACTAGTACATCACAAACAGTTGTAGGCTTTATGGATAGTGTTCCCCAATATGGCAGTTGCCGGATGTATGGAGTTCAACTCCCAGGATCCCCCAGCCAGCAAGTTCCCTGCTAAGAATTCTGGGCATTGAACGCACATTTCTGGAAGTTGTCAGGACCTGCCCAACTTCCACAAAGATATATTTCCCCTCGTTGTGGGCTTTGAAAAATGACCCACTTTTCCTCCATTTAACCGAATAAATAACAAGAGTAATGGAGTTGGAAGGGACCGTGGAGGTCTTCTAGTCCAACCCTGTTGTCCAGTCTCTTTCTTGAAAACCTCCAGTGATGGAGCACTTCCGTCCCCCAACTTTTCTCTCTCTTGCTTCCTTGTGTCATCCCCCGCCCCACCTTTGAGGAAAGAAATAAGTGGCCTTTTCTTATAGTTGGGTGGGTCTCCCTATCACCAGGGGTGCAAATGGGGCTTCAATTTTACCTTTTCTCTTCAAGAAGCTTGTCTAGGCTGGTCAGGTAACATTCCCGTCTTGGCGAGGGGCACTAAAAACAGAAGCAAGAGGAAAACAGATTAGAGGGAGGCTGGGATGGGCCAAGTCTACCCAAAACTGGGATTCAATAAGAGTTGGACCCACCGCCTGGCATATTGCCAAGGCTCAAGCATGCTGCCAGACCTAGCAGTGTCCCTCCAGAAAGCCATGGAGTCTCCAAACCCTGCATGGTGGATCAGTGTTGTGATCCGCCAGCAGCCTGCGGAACTGGCAGTGGAGTCGGACAATGAGGAGGACGGGGGAGAGCTGCCAGAAGGCAGTTAAAAGGGACAACTCGGGAGTAAGGCCTGGAGATGATTGGCCCCTCACATAAGGCTCAAAAGAGGAGCAAAGGCACGTGGGCCCTTTGCAGGAAAGCAGTGTTGTTAATTCTGTTCCCAGTCCCAATCTCACTCCTGTCTGACCCAACCCTGCCCGCCCACCCCATCCCTCCCTTCCCAGGAGTCCCCACATGGCCCGTTTTGGATGCAGGTAAGTGCAGAGGTGCATGCGGAGGCTCAGGGACGGTGAAAAACGGGCCTACCGGAAGTTCAGGAAGGCCGGAAACGGGCCCATTTCTGGCCTCCAGAGGGCCTCGGAGCCTGGGGAGGCCATTTTCGCCCTCCCGGAGGCTCGGAAAAGGTCTCCGGAGCCCAGGGAGGGCACCTCCCCCTGCCATGATGCACGAGGCTGACTAGGCCACGCCCACCATGACCACGCCCACCCAGGAACCGGGCAGAGAACCCCTTGCTAAAATTTTTGAAGCCCACCCGTGAACCAGATGGAGACAGGAATTTGAAGGCCAAGGTTCTGAAGAACGCCAAGTCGAAAGACGCTCAATCCCATTTCCCCGGGGTACCCACCGAGCCCATCTCCAGTGTGCTGGAACTGGACTCGTCCATGTGGAGGAGATCTCGAAGGGGCACAAGGCTGCTGTCATCCATATCTTCCTCTTCATCGGAGTCTGGAGTCAGTGCTCCGGGACCTTCTAAAAAACTCCTCAGAGGAATCCGAGCTGCTGCTGCTGCTCATGGAGGAATTCCCAGAGCCTGGCAGCAAGAGACGGAGAGGGGGCGACGAAGAAGGACCCCCCATCCTTGGAGACCCACCAGCCTCTTGGTCTGGCATCTCCTGAGAGCTTCGAGGTTCGGATGGCCCAGGGGTTGGGCTGAGGGGAGGAGACTCTTCGTTGTACCCAAATGCGATTCGTTTTAGTGGCAAATCCGGAAGGAACGACGTCCCCTCATCGTCCTCTGTCAAGGGAGACTTGGGGTCGTCTCTTTCCGGGGTCTCGGCTGGAGAAACAGACTCTTCCTGCTCCGATTTCTCTGCGGACTCTGGGAGAAAAAAGAGAAGAGTTATTACCGTGAGGCCAGACACGCCACACTGCACAGAGACTAATCAGAGCTACAGAATGTGGAACTGAGCACTTAATCCAGGTTTCTAAGTAGCACAGACTTCATTCGGATTCTTCCCAAAAAAAAACAAACCCACAACTCTAAGAAATATTAAATGCATTTGGCACACATGCATGACAGAGAGAGAAAGTCGTAGCAGTCTTCCAATATTTGAGGGGCTGCCACAGAGAGGAGGAAGGGGGTCAAGCTATTTTCCAAAGCACCGAAGGCCAGACAAGGAATAATGGATGGAAACTGATCAAGGAGAGATTCAACCTGGAAATAAGGAGGAATTTTCTGACAGTGAGAGCAAATGGAACAGAAGCTGCCTTTGGAAGTTGTGGGAGCTTCATCACTGGAGGCTTTCAAGAAGAGACTGGGCTGCCATCTGTCAGAAATGGTGTAGGGTCTCCTGCTTGGGCTTGGGGGTGTGTGTGGACTAGATGACCTCAGAGATCCTTTCGTTAATCTGTTATTTTCCAAGTGTAAGACTAAATGCCTCATACTAGATTACCACACACACACAAATGGTCCCTCCCCTTCAGCTGCATGGCACCGGAGCCTTTGAGGAAAAATTCAGGAAGTCCTCAACTTACGACCACAATTGAGCCCCAAATTTCTGCTGTAAAGTGAGTTTTGCCCCATTTTAGGATCCTTCGAGCCACAGTTAGTCGCTGCAGTTGTTAAGTGAACCTGGCTTCCCTGTTGACTTTGCTTGTCAGAAGGACGCAAGAGGGGATGACACCATCATAAATATGAGTCAGTTGCCAAGAGCCACGGTGGCGCAGTGGTTAGAGTGCAGTACTGCAGGCTCCTTCTGCTGACTACCGGCTGCCTGCAATTTGGCAATTCGAATCACACCAGGCTCCAGGTTGACTCAGCCTTCCATCCTTCCGAGGTGGGTAAAGTGAGGACCCAGATTGTTGGGGGCAAGAGGCTGATTCTGTAAACCGCTTAGAGAGGGCTGGAAAGCACTGTGAAGCGGCATATAAATCTAAGTGATATTGATATTTTCCTTCCTTCTTTCCTTCCTTCCTTCCTTCCTTCTTTCCTCCTTCCCTCCCTCCCTCCCTCTCAGTGATTAGAATGCAGTATTGCGGCTAACTTTGCCCACTGCCAGCAGTTCGAGTCTCACCGGCTCAAGGCTGACTCAGCCTTCCATCCTTCCGAGGTGGGTAAAATGAGGACCCAGATTGTTGGGGGGCAATATGCTATTTAGTATACTGCCTTTGGTGTAAGCCGCCCAGAGTCCTCGGAGAGTGGGCGGCATAGAAATATGACTAATAAAATAAAACAAAATAAAATGAGGACCCAGATGGTTGGGGGCAAGAGGTTGACTCTGTAAACTGCTTAGAGAGGGTGGTAAAGCACTAGGAAGCGGCATATAAGTCTAAGGGCTATTGCTGTCTGAATTTTGATCACATGACCATGGGGATGCTGTAACAGTCGTAAGTGTGAAAACTGGTCCTAAGCCACATTTTTCAGGGCCGTTGTAACTTTGAACGGTCACTAATGAATTGACGTAAGTCGAGGACTACTTGTAAAGCCCCCCCCCCCCAAATTGGGGAGAGAGAGAAAGACCCACCAGGCGCTTCGATGCCGTCCGGCATTTCCTGAGAGCTTCCAGGTTCAGAGCCAGGCCCAGGATCCGGGCTGAGAGGAGGCGGCGGCTCTTCCTTGAAGAGAAAGGATGGAGGTGACCAGTCTGGTGGGAAGACGTCCTCATCCTCTTCCAAGGGAGACTTGGAGTCGCTCCGTTCACGGGAGCTTTTCCTTCTTCTCGGGGTCTCGGCTGGGGGAGCAGAGTCTCTCTTCTTGGATTTCTTTCGGGAGCGCCTGCCGAGCCCGGGACCCATTTCTGGCCAGAAACTGCTGCAGAGGGGACGCATTTTGGGGGGAGCACGTCTGGAGAGGGTTGGTGCTTCTGAAACTTCTTCTGCATCCGTCGCAGGAAAGACCGAGAGTCTGGAGACAAGGAAAGAGTCATTACTAGGAGGACGGACATGCTACACCATGGGGTCCCCAATCCCCTGGTCCGTGGACCTCCACTGGTCCATGGCATGCCAGCAACTGGGCCGCACAAACGAGCGAAGCCCCAACTGCAGTATGAAACCAGCATGCTAAACAGAGAGTACAATAATAGCATTGGAAGGGACCTCGGAGGTCTTCTAGTCCAACCTCCTGCTTGAGCAGGAGACCCCTAGACCAGTGATGGCTAACCTTTTTGCCGTCGCGTGCCAAAAGCGGGGGAGAGCGTGGGGGGCGGTCGCGCGTGAATGTGCCCACACCCATAATTCAATGAGCCCGCCCCCCCTGCGTGCTCCCCCCGTTTTTGGCACACAATGGAATGGTGGGCCGGAAGGCCCGTTTTTCGCCCTCCCCAGGCTCCAGAGACTTTCTAGGAGTCTCGAGTGGGCGAAAACGGCCTTCCCCACCTCCCAGAGGCCCTCCGGAGGCTGGAAACAGCCCGTTTTCCAACTTCCAGTGGGAAGTTTTTTTGCCCTCCCCAGGCTCCAGAAGCTTTCTAGGAGCCTGGAATGGGCGAAAACGGCCTTCCCCACCTCCCGGAGGCCCTCCGGAGGCTGGAAACGTTCCATTTCCCGTCTTCCCGGAAGGCCGTTTTTCACCATCCCGAAGCTCCAGAGGTTTTCTAGGAGCTTGGGGAGGGTGAAAAGCCCCCCCCCCCGAGGCCCCCCGGGGGCCGGAAACAGCCCATTTCCCGACTTCCGGTGGGACCGGAAGGCCCATTTTTTGCCCTCCCCAGGCTCCAGAGGCTTTTTAGGAGCCCGGGGAGGACAAAAACGGCCTTCTCCTACCCACCCCCGAGGCCCTCCGGTGGTGGGAAATGGCCTGTGAGACCGGAAGGCCCGTTTGTTGCAAATGACCAGCTGTTTGCAAAGAGTATCAATCCTTCCATTCCCCACCATCCAGTCAGAGCTGAAGAAGCTTCTTGGATGAGAAGCGAAACATCTTCAAAAGAAAAAAAACAAGAAAGTCCAGTTGCCTCCTGAAAAAAAAGCATTTTTTTTGGGAATTTTAATATTCTTAATGTTCTGTCTCTTCCCTCAAGTCATGGAGCAATGGCACTACAGAATAAGACGGTAAAGAGCCCAGCGAAAGAGATCTGCTCCTTTCCTCCTTATTCCTTAGCTAAATCTACCACCTCATCGAGGTGCTCATTGTGAATAATACAGGCATTGATCCTGTGGGATGCCAAATATTTGGCAGTCTTCTCAACCTGGAGCATTTCAGGGGTGACAGACGGCCCCACTCGTCTGTCAGGCAGAAGAAACCTGTTACCCTATTTTAGAAGGCTGTCATGGCACTTTAGGACAGCGGTCTCCAACCTTGGCAAATTTACGCTGGCGTAAATTCAACTCCCAGAATTCCCCAGCCACCAAAGCTGGAGGACTTCAACTCCCAGAATTCCCCAGCCAGCAATGCTGGAGGACTTCAACTCCCAGAATTCCCCAGCCAGGAAAGCTGGAGGGCTTCAACTCCCAGAATTCCCCAGCCAGCAAAGCTGGAGGACTTCAACTCCCAGAATTCCCCAGCCAGGAAAGCTGGAGGGCTTCAACTCCCAGAATTCCCCAGCCAGCAAAGCTGGAGGACTTCAACTCCAGAATTCCCCCCAGGAAAGCTGGAGGGCTTCAACTCGCAGAATTCCCCAGCCAGGAAAGCTGGAGGGCTTCAACTCCCAGAATTCCCCAGCCAGGAAAGCTGGAGGGCTTCAACTCCAGAATTCCCCAGCCAGGAAAGCTGGAGGGCTTCAACTCCCAGAATTCCCCAGCCAGGAAAGCTGGAGGGCTTCAACTCCCAGAATTCCCCAGCCAGGAAAGCTGGAGGGCTTCAACTCGCAGAATTCCCCAGCCAGGAAAGCTGGAGGGCTTCAACTCCCAGAATTCCCCAGCCAGGAAAGCTGGAGGGCTTCATCTTCCAGAATTCCCCAGCCAGGAAAGCTGGAGGGCTTCAACTCCCAGAATTCCCCAGCCAGGAAAGCTGGAGGGCTTCAACTCGCAGAATTCCCCAGCCAGGAAAGCTGGAGGGCTTCAACTCCCAGAATTCCTCAGCCAGCAAAGCTGGAGGACTTATCTTCCAGAATTCCCCAGCCAGGAAAGCTGGAGGGCTTCAACTCCCAGAATTCCTCAGCCAGCAAAGTTGCCAACCTTGGCAACTTTAAGACTTGTGGACTTTAACTCCCAGAATTCCTCAGCCAGCAAAGTTGCCAACCTTGGCAACTTTAAGACTTGTGGACTTTAACTCCCAGAATTCCTCAGCCAGCTTTGCTGGCTGGGGAATTCTGGGAGTTGAAGTCCTCCAGGCTTAAAAGTTGTCAAGGTTGGAGACCCCTGCTTTAGAAGAAAGACATGGTACATAAAACAGCTTGTGCAATTTTGCTCCGGCGGATCTGAAATTCTAAGGACGGAGCTGTCTTTTTGGGGAAGAAATCTTTCAGCCTAAGAAACCCAACTTTTCATTCAATTGCAATTGAATAGAGGGGGGAAATGTTAAGTCAAATGACAATTTTAGAGCCAAGACTGCCCTCTGGTGGATCTCATCTGTTGCCAGTATATACTGAAAAAAGGAGACTTTTATTTTTTTTGCAAATCAGATTACGCCTGGACGTAACCCTGCTAGCGACACGTTTTTCCAGGATTTAAAATAGCGCTGTGCCCATAATAGCATCCCTTTCGACTAGTTATTATTTCTAGTTTCTACAGTAACGTGAGCATGCAATTCCTGACAAATCTTATTTTTTGTACTGTTCGGGCCAACCCTGGGTAATACAGCGGCGTGTTCTGTAGATGAGAAACTGACTTTAAAAACAGCTCATCTAGGGGGGAGGAAAGATTATTTTAAGAAGCAGACTTTTCTTTGAAAGTCTAATTTTCTGCGTGTACAGATCTACGGGTTGGTTTTCTTGGTGGGGGCTGTTCTCAGCTGGGGGGGGTGGTAAGCCACAGGTATGGTGAACAATATTTTGCTTTCGCATAAAAATCTTGCGGCACTGAGAGCCCTTTGGGTTGTTTTATTACCTTTTATTATAGGTAGGGTTTTATAAACCGGGGTGACAAGTGCATAAGCTACATGCCATGACCCCCTTCCGGTGGCTTACAAATCAGGCTGCCAATTTTCAGGGACAAATGGTCTCAAATTGAAGGCTGCTTCCCATTCATTTCCTGCCCCAAACACTAATTGGAAGCCTCTCATGCTCAACAGGGCTGTAGAATGCTTTAAACCTTTGATTTTTTCCCCCCAAAGTACCAGCTTTGAATCCGGCTTGATTCAAGCACCATTTTACAATCACATCCAAAACGTGGCACTTAACACATTTATTTCATTAAGAACCCTTTGTCCCAATAGCAACAGCCCTTAGACTTATGTACAGCTTCACAGTGCTTTACAGGCCGCTCTAAGCGGTGCCCGCAATAATCTGGGTCCTCATTTTACCCACCTGGGAAGGATGGAAGGTTGAGTCAACCTTGAGCCGATCAGGATTGAACTCCTGGCTGTGTGCAGAGTTAGCCTGCAATACTGCCTTCTAAAGGAAAGGAGGGAGGGAGGGAGGGAGGGAGGGAGGGAGGGAGGAAGGAAGGAAGGAAGGAAGGAAGGAAGGAAGGAAGGAAGGAAGGAAGGAAGGAAGGAAGGAAGGAAGGAAAATAGCAATAGCACTTATACTTATATACCGCTTCACAGTGCTTTGCAGCCCTCTCTAAGCGGTTTACAGAGTCAGCCTCTTGCCCCCAACAGTCTGGGTCCTCATTTTACCCACCTCAGAAGGATGGAAACTTGAGTCAACCTTGAGCCGGTTAGGATCGAACTGCTGGCAGCAGGCAGAGTCAGACTGAAATGCAACATTCTAACTTGCACCATGAAAGGAAGAAAGAAAGGAAGAAGGAAAGGAAGGAAGGAAGGAAGGAAGAAAGGAAGGTAGTAATAGCACTTATATACCACTTCACAGTGCTTTTACAGCCCCCTCTAAGCAGTTTACAGAGTCAGCCTCTTGCCCCCAACAATCTGGGTCCTCATTTTAATGACCTCGGAAGGAGGGAAGGCTGAGTCAACCTTCAGCCTGGCGAGATTTGAACTGCCAAATTGCAGGCAGCCAGCAGTCAACAGAGATAGCCTGCAGTACTGCACTCTAACCACTGCGCCACCCCGGCTCATAATAATATAAAGTACAAGCAAACCAGGTCGAAAAGCCCAGTACCACCCCTCCCCCACTGAGGTTAGGTCTACTTCAGCAAACAAGCATCATAAGCGATCCTAAAACCAGCCATACAACGTTCCATCCCCCACCCACCCCAAAGCCATCAAAAATATATTTCAGAATATTACCGTTTCTATGGGCCGAGAGTCTTTTGCGGACTTTAGATCCATCGGTTTTTGAAGATCTGTGATTATCATCCTGCAGGACAAATTTGGTTAAGATTTTAAAAATGCTTGTTGAATGGCTGGATTCATATAAACACACGCCTTACACCCCAAGTTAACAAAATACAGCCCCAGGGAGATGAAAAATGCGAGGTCCAAAGAAATAAATTCCAGAAAATCTAATGGCCTGGTTCAAGGGTGAAATGCTCCCGGATTGGACCGGATCGCCCGATCCGGTAGCAATCTTGGCTGGTAGTTCGGCGATCCGGTAGCGATGGCGGAGCAAAGCTCCACCCACCCGCCCAGGGGTCATTACTTCCTGCAGGAAGTAATGTGTTTTTTAATCTTCTGCGCATGCGCCTAAGATTCTGCACATGTGCAGGAGGTCTGCGCGCATGTGACGCATGTTTGCGCCCACTTCCGAACCGGTAAGGAAGCTAAGTAGATTTCACCCCTCACCTGGTTCACAAAAAAACCCCTGTCTAGGATAAGTGGCCCAAAGCAATGGCCACTTACGTCCAAGGAAGCCTCACCATAAATCCCTTCGTATGAAGGAGCTTTTGGGGCCAGTCAACATAGGCACCTCGCCTTTGATCAAGAGGGAAAAGAAACAATATTTTTAATACCATATAGCAGGGATGGCGAACCTTTTAAGAGATCGAGTGCCCAAGCTTCAACCCAAAATCCATTTATTTATCGCAAAGTGCCAAGACGGCAATTTAACCTGAATACTGAGGATTTACTACCTAAAATAATGATAAACAAGGCAGAATTCAGCTAATTGTTCTAAGAAAAACTTGATAAATTGCACTTTTATGCCCCTTCATTTTTTTCTGCTCTTGAAATATTACGTTTAGCAACAATAAAAAAGAAAAACTTTTGTAATATCATTTCTCTTTCCCTCCCCCTCTCTCTCTTCATCCCCTCTCTCTTCCTCTCTCTGTTTTTCTCTCTTTCCCTCCCTCTCTCCCTTTCTCTCTCTCTCTCTTCCCCTCTCTTTCCCTGGAGAAACCCGATGGAGCTGGGCTGGGGCGACAGCAGGCGTGCCCACAGAGAGGGCTCTGTGTGCCACCTCTGGCACACGTGCCATAGGTTCGCCACCAGGGCCATATAGCAATGATGGCTAACCTTTTTGCCATCACGTGCCAAAAGCGGGGGGAGAACGGAAGGGTCGCTTTCTTGGAGCCTGGGGAGGATGAAAACAGCCTTCCCCAGATCCCCGGAGGCTGGAAACAGTCTATTTCCCAACTTCCGGTGGGCCCGGAAGGCCTGAAAATCAGCTGGCTGGCACGTGCATGTATGCTGAAGCTGAGCTAGGGCAACAGCTAGGGCATATAAATCAAACTAATAAATAAATAAATAAATTTAAGTTTACACACAATTCATCCATGTACCAAGAGAGGATGAGTGGTTCAGAGGTCTTCCTAAAACACTAAGGAAAGAAACCTGATCAATACGACGTGTCATGACCATGTTGGAGCCTGAATCTGCAGAGGAAGATGAGCCGGATCTGGAGTCGACGGAGATCGAGGGGGCGGCTTCATTGGCTTCGGAGGAAAATGGGGAGGAGCAGTCCCAGTCAGGCCAGGGCCTTTCAGGATTGGGATGGCTTGTAGGCAGGGAGGAACAGGGGCAGGACGACCCAAGAGAGGCTAAGCAGTGAACATGGGAGACAAGAGCTCAGGCAATGAGCAAGGGCCACCTCCTCCTGATCCACGAGCATGGAGAGTGGAAAGAAGGCGAGAACAGCGCAGACTGACCCGACTACTCGGGAGGAGAGCGCCCTGCCCCTCTTCACAAGTCACACCTGGGGACTAAGAGTTAAGGAGACGCTGTGGGGAGGGGCATTTGTTAGGAACAAACACTGAATTCCAGGAATGTTGAATCCCGATGTTAGAACTTTCCTGGATTCCTTGCATTCTTTCTGGATTACTTGCCTGGCTCCTTTGCTTCCATGACTCCTCAACTTGCCCTGCTGGATTTTTTGGCTTTGCAGCCATGGTGCTCACAGCGTCGGGCTGGACTATTTGCAGCCAGACGCTGCTTGAGGTGTGTTGTGTGTGTATGTGATCACTTTGCTCTGGGACTTGCCAAAAACGTGAGAGTGTTTGGGGAAATTTGGAGCAATAAAGGGGCGGTTTGAACTGCCAGCTGCCTGTGTTATCTCTGTGCCATGTCCCGGGTCATCACACCACCCTGTACTATTAGAGGGCTTATGTTCTCTGGTTTTGTCTATTCTCCCAAATCAATCAATCAATCCTGGCTTCGCTGCTTACCCGCAAGGCATCTCGAAACGCCGGAGGATCCGTAAACGGCAAAGATAAGCTAGGAAAAGGCAGGACAGAGAAGGGCCTGCCGACTTTCAACCGCTTGGTTTTCCGAAGCTGCTGGTATCTCTGCAGGCTGGACTGGAAAGTGAAGCTGAAGAGACCAGCCTTGGGTTTCCTTAAAGAGGACAAAGGGATTTGGAACCAACGAATGTCTCTCCAGGTGTTGAACAGCTCCTTGCTGAACGAAGTCATCTTCGACTGGGAAACCAAGCTAACTTTCGAAGTGTCTTTGGAAAGCGGGGCCTGGCGCATCTTCTTCGAGGCATCCTTGGATGTCCCAGGTTGGCTATCCAGCGCAGAGGGTTTCCCCTGGCTTTGTTTACCTGACTTTTTCATGAGTATGGCCAATCTCCCTTCCGGTTTGAACTTGAAAGGAGAAGCTCAGTTCTTTTGGTCCTGGGTCCTTGGGAATGGCTGCGAAGGAGTTACCTCTTGGCCTTCCCTACACACTCTGCCCGAAGGGACAACACAGGGACCCTGTCAAAAGAAAGAAACAGAAAAGTAATTTCTACCGTTCCCAAGGCTGCTTGGAAGGCTTCCAGACGTACGGAAAGGAAACAAACGTAAATGGATTTATATTATATTAAGATTAATTATTGTAACTAGGATTTATGAGCTATCACCATGATGATGAACCTATGGCATGTGTGCCACAGGTGGCACGTGGAGCCCTATCTGTGGGCACGCGAGCTGTTGCCCTAGCTCGACTCCAGCGCACATGCGCACGCCAGTCAGTTGCTTTTTGGCTGGCCACGCCCACACCACCCTCCCAGGAGTCTCCACGTGGCCTGTTTTGGATGCCAGGTAAGTACAGGGCTCGCGCGGAGCTCTGGGAGGGCATTTTTGGCCTCCGGGGGGGGGGGGGGAGAGGCTGTTTTAGCCCTCCCCAGGCTACAGGAAAGACTCTGGAGCCTTGGGAGGACGAAAAACGGGCCTACTGGAAGTCTGGAAACAGGCCATTTCCGGCCTCTGGAAGCTTCAGGGAGGTCTGCTAGGTCCAAAACGGGGCACGGGGGGGTCGTGCGTGCAGGCGTGGGGGAGCACGGGGGGGGTCATGCGTATATTTACGGGGTGCAGGGGGCATTGAATTATGGATGTGGGCACACATGCGCATGACCCCTGTGGTCCCTCCGCTTTTGGCACGCGACAGCAAAAAGGTTAGCCATCACTGAGCTATCACTTTGTTGTGGTATGCGTGTACACTGAGAGCTTATGCACTGGAGACAATTCCTTGTGTGTCCAATCACACTTGGCCAATGAAGTCCATTCAATTCCTATTTTATTCCTATTCTTTTCCATTCCTATTCCTATTCTTTTCCATTCCTATTCCTATTCTTTTCCATTCCTCTTCCACCCCATTCCATTCATTTTTTAATGACCAAGAATAGAACTTTCCCTCGTTATCTGGTGTTTCCAGCTGAGACTGTTATGCCTCCAGCGACACAACAGCAAGAAGCTTTACAGCAATTAAAAACAATACAAAGAAAGAGAATACAAAAAACATATTAAACTGTATTTTAAAAAAGAAAAGAAAAAAGAAAACATAGACAGACGTAGACCAGACAGATATGCTTCCACGGGATGCTTCTGTTACTCAGTGGCTCTGAATAATCTACTGTGAAGTATTGTAACAAGAACTGTAATAAGAGTTAACTAAGCGAAGGCAGTATCTACAGCATCTGTAGCTCAAGGTTGAACTGTGGAGTCCTTGATGCTGAGTTGAGCTCATGCAGAGATTACATCCAACAAGATTCAGTTCAGGGGTGAAAAAAGCCAGGTAACAACTGCACTTAGGCAGGAACAAAAAAAATATCAAATATAGATATAGAATGGGTGGTACTTGGCTCAGCAGTAGTTAACTGACTCAGCCTTCCATCCTTTCGAGGTAGGTAAAATGAGGACCCGGATTGTGGGGGCAATAAGCTGACTTTGTATAAAAAGAACACCGCTTGGGGGGGCCGAAAGCCCTACTAAGCAGGTATATACAAAAGCATGAAGGCTATTGCTTAACGCATTGTAAGCCGCCCTGAGTCTTTGGAGAAGGGTGGCATATAAATCGAACCAATAAAACAAATAAACTATAAAAGGGATCTATGGACCACCACTTAAATATGAGCAATGCTGCCCCAAAATAACCAGTACGGTCCTAGGCTGCATCAACAAAGAATAAATAGTATCAAAATCAGGAGGACAAATAATACCGCTATATACCATATTAGTGAAGCCACATCTGGAATAATGCATCCTATTCTGGTCACAATACACAAAAAAAAAAAAGATGTAGAGATCCTTAAAAGAGTACAGAGAAGAGCAACAAAGATGATGAGGGGTCTGGAAGCTAAATGAACGGTTAAGGGAACTACGTATGAAGAGAAGGACTAGGGGTGACATGATAGCAGTCTTCCAATATTTGAGGGGCGGTCACAGAGAAGAGGGGATGGACTTATTTTCTAAAGATCCTGAGGTCAGGACAAGAAGTGATGGGTGGAAGCTGGTTAAAGAGAGCTCCAACCTCAAACTAAGACATTTCCTGATAAACCATCAATGGAACAGCTTATCTCCTGGAGTTATGAGTCTCCATCGCTATGATTCCCCAACCAGGCAACATCTGAAATGTATGCATAAAAACAACCAAGCTCGGAGAACATCCAGGATTCCATAATCAAGATCAAGCCGGCACTGTCCATTTGTAAACTCTCAGCATTTTCCTTGCAGGAGACAAATCTTGAGGACGAAAAGATGAAAGAGCTGCAGAAGAGTTTTCGTCCACCGCAGTGCAAACACTGTTTGGAAGCATTTCTCACCCTTGCCATGGAGAATGGATCAAGGAACTAAGATACGTCACCTACAACAGTCAGGAACATCTGGAGGCCGTGATTGAAAAAAGTCAAGACGGCATCCCACGTAAGAGCTGGGTGAAGTTTCAATTACACCATCATGGCCATCACGCTGAGCTGGTCGATCGAAAGGTCAGCAGTTCAGCGGTTCGAATCCCTAGTGCCATGAAACGGGGTGAGCTCCCGTGACTTGTCCTAGCTTCTGCCAACCTAGCAGTTCAAAAGCAGGTAAAAAATGCAAGTAGAAAAATAGGGACCACTTTGGTGGGAAGGGAACAGCGTTCCGTGCGCCTTTGGCGTTGAGTCATGCCGGCCACATGACCACGGAGACGTCTTCGGACAGGGCTGGCTCTTCGGCTTTGAAACAGAGATGAGCACTGCCCCCTAAAGTCAGGAACGACTAGTACATATGTACAAGGGGAACGTTTACTTATACCTTACAGATTATTGAGACACTGAGGCACAAGACAGATTGAAACTTCTCACAACAGCTACACAAACCCTGGGACCTATAAGGAAACAGTCCTGCTGCCGATAAACGGGGTCCGTTACCACCTTGAAATATCCAAATTTGATCCCTTGCGACATTGACGCTGTTTTAAGTCATTACATTAAAACGGTCAGCAAGGTTTCCGAGAATTTTTCTTCCCAACCGCTGCATTGTCTGAAACGCACAGATTTGGTTCATCATTACCCTGTACCGAGGGGTTTTTTTAAAAAAACAATGGCTGTGAAATAAAAATCGCAATTGGCAGAGTTCATGCATCACACTAAACCGCAAGTTTTACAAGCCGCAACACTCAGGTTCATGCAACGCATTAAGCCACAAGTAGAGAGTTTGGAAGGCGGAAGAGACGCTTTTTAATTTTTGCCGCACCTAGAAATATCATCCCTGATATTTAGATATCCCAAAAAAATTCGCTTCAGGGTTGGCTTTTTTACCGTATGGTATATACCCGGCAAAGTTGCTTATGCTATATTTTCCGAAAGGATTTCATCTGGAATTTTCTGAAGAGCAGGAAGAGGGGAAAAAAAGCCCTCCGTTATAAAAAAAAAATCCATCTCGCTCAAAAAGGATGCTCTTAAATCTTATAGCCACAATCCACTTGTTCCTCCTACCAAAGGAAGAAAAAAAAAAACTCAGTTGTTGTGGCAAAGACACAAATAGCCTTAATGGCCAAAAAAACCCCATCTTCAATATTTACAGTATTTTAATCCTGCTTTTCACACACACAGACCCCAAAAAAGGGCTCTTAAGACACTCTTACAAATCAATAGTAAAGAAATAAGCTTCTTCTGCTCCCAGATGTAACAACTCAGCGCTATACCGAGAAGGAAAAGAAAAGAAGGAACAGAAAAACTACTTCAGCCGCTCAAGCACCATACTTGCCCCTTTGTTACCTCAACCATGGTTTGTCTGCAATTAAGCCACAGCAGACAGCAGTTCCAAGTCAACCTTGGTAACCAGAGGGAACCGAAGAGATGGAGGGAGGCCGAGGCGGCTGATGACTCAACAGGATGATAATCACACCATCTGTTTAAATGACCATCTGCCTCCCCCTCGATGGCATCGTCTTTCTCTCTGGCTGCAAACCGATGGGCTAGCGCCCCCCTCCCACCTTTGAATTGGATAGCCCAACTGGCTAAATTGCAAAGCCCGATGGAAATGCAGCTAGCCCTCAACAACTCTAGAAAGCCTTAGTAAGAGCCCACCTAGAGTACTGCATCCAGTTTTGGACACACTATAAAAAAGATGTTGAGACTCTAGAAAGAGTGCAGAGAAGAGCAACCAGGATGATTAGGGGACTGGAGGATAAAATATACGAAGAACGGTTGCAGGAACTGGGCATCGCGAGTCTAGTGAAGACAAGGACCAGGGGAGACATGATAGCAGTGATCCAATATCTGAGGGGCTGCCACAGAGAGGAGGAAGGGGGTCAAGCTATTTTCCAAGGCACCTGAAGGCCAGACAAGAAACAATGGATGGAAACTGAACAAGGAGAGATTCAACCTGGAAATAAGGAGGAATTTTCTGGCAGTTGAGAACAATCAACCCATGGAACAGAAGTTGCCTTCGGAAGTTGTGGGAGCTTCATCACTGGAGGCTTTCGAGAAGAGACTGGACTGCCATCGGTCAGAAATGGTGTAGGGTCTCCTGCTTGGGTGGGGGGTTGGACTAGATGACCTACAAGGTCCCTTCTAACTCTGTTAATCTGCAATCTACTAAAGTTCGTTTAGCCACCATTCAAAGTTACCACAGCACCGAAGTGACCTAGGGCCGCTTTTCAGACTTACGACCGCTACAGCAGAAAATTCAGACGCTTGGCAACTGACTCATATTTATGATGGTGGTAGCGTCCCCAGGGTCACGTGACCCCTTTTTGCGACCTTCTGACGAGCAAAGTCCACGGGGAAGTCAGATTCACTGAACAGCTGTGTCACTAACTTAACAAACACAATGATTCCCTTAACAACTGTGGCAAGAAATGGGGCAAAATTCACCTAACAAATGTCTCACTTAACAACCGAAACTTGGGGCTCACTGTGGTCATTAAATCGAGGACTATCTGCAATATAGTTCCAAGCCTTGAAGATTACAAAGCTTCAATTCTCATTGATCTGAGCTACGCACCCGGAACAAATACAACCACAAACCATCAAAGGTAGCTTGATGTTTGTTTGCTTGAGGCGGCTACCAGAGTGAAAGCAAACCCACCTCTCCCCTCGCTCCCTGCTTTCCCACCTGCCCAATTTTTTAACTCTCATCTCAACGTATTCTCATTGTTGCAGCAGGAATAATATTTGCACAAAGATGGAAAGCAGAGAAAATCCCTTTAGAAGGGGAAGTAATTAGAAAAAGTTTGGACTGCGCAAAGATGAATAGATTAATGATTAAAGAGAAAGAGGATACGGAATATTTTAAGATATGGGGGAAATTTTATGATTGGATAGAAAAGAGATATAAAGAATTTGATAAGCAAACAGGAGAAAGTTACATTAAATATATGTATTTTGGGGGAAATACTGAAATAGGATTTATGAAGGAAGAAATAAGGAGTAACAAAAAGAAGTCACCGAAGAAACACCGAGATGACACACGGAAGGACTGATGTATTATATGTTTGTTTGTCTTTAAAAAAAAACTTTTTATTAAAAAAATGTATTCATTGTTTTCTTTTTCGTTGTTTATTATTCCATTCCTTTGCTACTGTTACATTTACACTTTTCAGCCTCTGTGTGTATTGTGGTAAGCTGCTCACACAGCAAAGGTAAGCGGCAAATAAATTTAACGAATAAATAACTTTTGAGGCTAGTCCCTTGTGTAACCTGGGACTATCTAAGGTTTGGATTCTCACTGCAGATAACCAGGTGGAAAAAATCAGAGAGTTAAAGACAGATAATCGCATCAGGCAAACACAGTCTTAAGATAATGTAGTAGGTCTTTGGGGAAGGGAGATGTAGAGATTAATTCCAGTGTGAAAACTAGAAAAGAAAAGAAACAGCCTGGACTGCTAAAACAGGTGCTTCAGAAAAAGCAATTCTTACTACTTTAATGTTGGGATTTGCTGCATGTACACCTAAGTCAGGGCTGCTTAAAACTGACCTATTCCAGTTACCGCTCTTCCTGGTTTCCAGGGAAGTCATCAGTCCCACAAAAAAGTCCACGAAAAAAGTCCATGTGGCTTCATGCAGGATCCCAGCTGGATCCCAGATCGACAAAACAAGCACCTTCCAATTGCTCCATGACTCCCAGGATACAAGGAGACTGGACTAGGTGGGGATGGAAACGAATCAGAGAGACAACTAATGAGAAATTTCCTGACCATGAGAACAATTAACCTGTGGAACAGCTTGTCTCAAGGAATTTGTGGGTGTTCCAACACTGGAGTTTTTTTAAGAGATTGGACAATCATTTGTTTAGAATGGTATAGCAGGGGGTTGGACTAGATGACCTCCAAGGTCCCTTCCACCTATTCTATTCTACTCTATTCTCTTTTCTATATTCTATTTTGTTCTATTCCTTATTCTATTCTATTCTATTCCTTATTCTGTTGTATTCCTTATTCTGTTGTATTCCTTCTTCTCTTCTATTCCTTCTTCTCTTCTATTCCCTATTCTATTCTCTTCTATTCCTTATTCTCTTCTATTCCCTATTCTATTCCTTATTCTCTTCTATTCCCCTATTCTATTCCTTATTCTCTTCTATTCCTTATTCTATTCTATTCCTTATTCTGTTCTATTCCTTATTCTATTCTATTCCTTATTCTGTTCTATTCCTTATTCTATCCTATCCTATCCTATCCTATCCTATTCCTTATTCTGTTCTATTCCTTATTCTATTCTCTTCTATTCCTTATTCTGTTCTATTCCTTATTCTATCCTATCCTATCCTATCCTATTCCTTATTCTATTCTATTCCTTATTGTTCTATTCCTTATTCTATTCTCTTCTATTCCTTATTCTATCCTATCCTATTCTATCCTATCCTATTCTATTACTTATTCTATTCCTTATTCTGTTCTATTCCCTATTTTATTCTCTTCTATTCCTTATTCTGTTCTATTCCTTATTCTATTCTCTTCTATTGCTTATTCTGTTCTATTCCTTATTCTATCCTATCCTATCCTATCCTATTCCTTATTCTGTTCTATTCCTTATTCTATTCTCTTCTATTCCTTATTCTGTTCTATTCCTTATTCTATCCTATCCTATCCTATTCTATTCCTTATTCTATTCTATTCCTTATTGTTCTATTCCTTATTCTATTCTCTTCTATTCCTTATTCTATCCTATCCTATCCTATCCTATTCTATTACTTATTCTATTCCTTATTCTGTTCTATTCCCTATTTTATTTTCTTCTATTCCTTATTCTATTCTATTCTATTGCTTATTCTGTTCTATTCCTTATTCTATCCTATCCTATCCTATTCTATTCCTTATTCTATTCTATTCCTTATTGTTCCATTCCTTATTCTATTCTCTTCTATCCTTATTCTATCCTATCCTATCCTATTCTATTACTTATTCTATTCCTTATTCTGTTCTATTCCCTATTTTATTCTCTTCTATTCCTTATTCTGTTCTATTCCTTATTCATCCTATCCTATCCTATTCTATTCCTTATTCTATTCTATTCCTTATTCTCTTCTATTCCCTATTCTATTTCTTTTCTTTTCTATTTCTATTTCTATTTCATTTCTATTTCTATTCTATTTTCTCTTCAATTAATCAGTGGAACCACTTGCCTCCAGAAGATTGTGAATGGACTCCCAACACTGGAGGTTTGTTTGTTTTGTTTTGTTTGTTTCCCAAAGAAGAGATGGGGGACAGCCCTTTTGTCTGAGAAAAAAAAAACAAACACGATATACCAGCTCCTGCTTTTGAGCAGGGGGCTGGACTAGATGACCTCCAAGGCCCCTTTGTCATTCTTGCTAAGACCTTTCGGGGGCCCCGATTCTCTCTTCCACGTTTGCCTCAATGATTCCCACCCCCACCCCCACCCCAATTAAAAAAACAAAAAACTAAAAAACTAAAAAACCCTGACCTAAGCTACCAATTAATTTAGTAAATTTAATTTAGTAAATCCTGGCTGTGAAACGAGGCGGGTCGTTTTGTACCTCTGCCAGATGGGCAGCTCGGTTCCTCCAATGCAACAGAGGCTGGAGGGGAGGGGGAGAGAGAGAGAGAGAGAGAGAGAGAGACCCCCTCCCCCAAAAAAGAGCCACCTGCACGCGCTCTACCTGCGCTCAAAAAATAAAAAAAAAAACAACCGCTCTCGCTAACGGTCGCCGGCTTCTACCTCTTTCAAACGGCAACGCTCCCCCCGAGAACAGCCAATCGGATGCCGGGATTGACCACGGAGCTAAGAATGAGAGCCAATCCCGGTCCAGCTATCCGAGCTCTCTCTCTCTCTCTCTCTCTCTCTCCCGCAAGTGGAGAGAAGAGGCGGGGACCCAGAGGAGTTTCAGCCAATCGGCGGCCTCGGAGGGAGAGGGTGGGGTGGGGAAATTAAGAAGAAAAAAAAAAGCGCGCTTCGGAAAGTCAAGGCCGGCCACGTGCTCTTGGAAGAGCTTTTGCAGCTGTCCGGGGGGGGGGGGGGGGGGGGGGTGCGGCCCGCGGGGCCTTGTGGGAAATGGAGTCCCGCCTGGACTATGGAATAGCATAGCATAGCATAGCATAGCATAGCATAGCATAGCATAGAATAGAATAGAATAGAATAGAATAGAATAGAACAGAATAGAGGAAAATAAAATTAGGAATAGGAGAAAATTAATAGAATAGAATAGAACATAGACTAGGAATAGAAAATAGAGTACAGTTGAATAGAATAGAATAGAATAGAATAGAATAGAATAGAATAGAACTAGGAATAGGAATAGGAATAGGAATAGGAGAAAATTACTAAAATAGAGTATAGAATAGAATAGAAAATAGAGTACAGTCAAATAGAATAGAATAGAAAGGAATAAAAGAAAACCTAATAGAATAGAATAGAATAGAAAATAGTAGTAGTAGAATAGAATAGGAATAGGAGAAAATTAATAGAATAGAATAGAAAATAGAGTACAGTAAAATAGAACAGAATAGAATTAGGAATAAAAGAAAACTAATAGAATAGAATAGAATACAGAATAGAATAGAATAGAAAATATAGTAGTAAAATAGAATAGAAAGGAATAAAAGAAAACTAATAGAATAGAATATAGAATAGAATAGAATAGAAAATAGAATAGAATAGAATAGAAAATAGAGTAGTAAAATAGAATAGAATAGAATTAGGAATAGGAATAGGAGAAAACTAAGAGTAGAATAGAATAGAATAGAATAGAATAGAATAGAATAGAAATAGAATAGAAAATAGAGTACAGTTGAATAGAATAGAATAGAACTAGGAATAGGAATAGGAGAAAATTACTAGAGTATAGAATAGAATAGAATAGAATAGAAAATAGAGTACAGTAAAATAGAATAGAATAGAAAGGAATAAAAGAAAACGAATAGAGTAGAATATAGAATAGAATAGAATAGAATATAGAATAGAAAATAGAATAGAATAGAATAGAATAGAATAGAAATAGAATAGAATAGAATAGAATAGAATAGAAAATAGAGTATAAAATAGAATAGAATAGAATTAGGAATAGGAATAGGAGAAAACTAATAGAATAGAATAGAATCTCAAACTTGGCAACCATAAAACTTGGACTTCAACTCCCAGAATTCCTAGTTTCGAAGTACTGGATGTATCTAACCACCCTTGGCCAAATAAAGTATTCTATTTCATTCTGTTTTATACTCATACTGTCGATGAGTGGTCCAAAATATTGCACCACTTTATTCCGTATTATCTTTTTAAATTAACTTTCGTGCTTGCATCGCTGTTTATTTTACAAACGTTTCATCTGCTAAAAGCCACTGTGTTAAAATTTGCATGAAGATTTTTGTAACTTTGCATTAATTAAAATGTAATGTGTTTTCACGGGTTGGCATTTTTAATACAGTTGCAATGGACCAGATTCTCGTTTCCGCACAGCATAGTCCCCACCACCTATTTATCGGTGACAAACTATTATTGGAAATTGAAAAATGGATGATGGTAGCTGCTTTTCCAACTAACAAATGTTATTAAAAGGCATAAGCTTTTGTGAACTGCAGCTCACTTTATCAAAGTCATTCTAATGAAATGAGCTGCAGAAAAGCCTCATGCCTTTTAATAAAACTACTTAGTTGGAAAACCTGCTATCAGACTTCTGTTTTTTTTAACTGCATACCAGGGGTGAAATCCCAAATTTTTCCCTAATGGTTCTGTGGGTGTGGCTTGGTGGGCGTGGCAGGGGAAGGATACTGCAAAATCTCCATTCCCTCCCATCCTGGAGGAAGGATATTGCAAAATCTCCATTCCCACCCCACTCTGGGGCCAGCCAGAGGTGGTATTTGCCGGTTCTCCATACTACTCAAAATTTCTGCTATCGATTCTCCAGAACCTGTTAGAACCTGCTGGATTTCACCCCTGCTGCAGGCTAACACAATTCTCCTACAATGTCTTATTGGATATTTATATTCCCTTGCTACTGATCAGCAATATTTAGATTTAGCTTCTTTTAGAAAGTTGTGGGCAACTGTAGCATTTCTGCCAGGGTGATATGAAATAATCCATCCATATTTTTAATGTTTTTAGAAGTGTATATGTTAACAAAATGCAGTATTGGATAGAAGAGAAGAGAAGAGAAGAGGAATATAGAATAGAATAGAATAGAATAGAATAGAATAGAATAGAATAGAATAGAATAGAATAGAATAGAATAGAATAGAATAGGTTTATTGGCCAAGTGTGATTGGACACACAAGGAAGTTCTCCTTGGTGCATATATCAATTTTATTTTATAGAATTATTAGATTCTATCCTTGTTTTATTTTATAGAATGTATGATTTACTTATTAAAGAGCAATGGTATTTTTTAACCTTATCTTTACCCCATTAAATCATTGGCTTTAGTAATTGGGGGGTGGGGGGAGAGATCACATAAAATCATATTTGCTTTTATGATTTGCAGGACCCTGAACTTGGCAAATATTAGCAGACGTAATCAAACCATATTTAAGATGAAAATCAGAATAAGCTGACAATAGCGGACAAATATTGTCAGGGAAAGAGTAAGTGATAAGGAGCACAAATTATACAATAACTAGAGACACAATCTCTTTGACCAAACTGCTTTCTTGTACAAATTCCCCCCCAAAAGAAGCACATTAGAAATTGATTTGTTCAATTGTTAGGACTGCCAATCTCAATAAATAATCATGTATAATAAAGAAATTGGTTGCTCTTACCCAAATCAGCCACTCTGTTCCTAATGACATGTATAGGGGGGAAAGTGATGTAACCACAGCTGCTTGCTTGAAAAATTTTGCCTTTTCTTCTAAGAGAACAGAATGAAATAAAACTCCAAAGTTCAGTTTTGCTGCCTTAAACGGGGATTAAAGTTTTTTTTCTCCCTACAGTACAGCATACTGTATACTCCTATAAGACAAAGTATGGAAGAAAGTGTAAAGTTGACCAGGTATTCAAGTTTGGTCCCAAAGCATCCTTGTGAGTAGACTCAGTTACTGCCATATGATTAACAATTAACTGAATGAAGAGGTCATTCTAGAATGAAAAGGACTGATTATGACAGTGCATTAGAATATTCTTTATTGGAATATTCATTACTGGCCAAGTATGATTGGACACACAAAGAATTTGTCTCCAGTGCATAAGTGATAAATCATAAGATAAAATCATAAGATACAAACAATAAATTATATCCTTCTCATAAGATAGCAATAGAAGATAGTAGGAAAGATGAGAAGGATAATAGCACTACAGCCCTACTAAATGGGTAAATATCTTTAGGCATAAGACAGTGCTGTGGGAATTAGGTATTTAGTAGAGTGATGGCATGGGGGAAAATTGTCTTTGTATCTACTTGTTTTGGTATGAGACATTATACCATTTCAGACAAGTGAATAGAATAGAATAGAATAGAATAGAATAGAATAGAATAGGAATAGAATAGAATAGAATAGAATAGAATAGAATAGAATAGAATAGAATAACAGAGTTGGAAGAGACCTTGGAGGTCTTCTAGTCCAACCCCCTGCTTAGGCAGGAAACCCTACACCACTTTAAGACAAATGGTTATCCAACATCTTCTTAAAAACTTCCAGTGTTGGAGCATTCGCAACTTCTGGAGGCCAGTCGTTCCACTGGTTAATTATTCTCACTGTCAGGAAGTTTCTCCTTCTAAGTTGCTTCTCTCCTTGATTCGTTTCCACCCATTGCTTCTTGTCCTGCCTTCAGGGGCTTTGAAGAATAGCTTGACTTCCTCTTCTTTGGATGCTTTTCTCCCCAAGAGGCAACTAACTTTTTGGGTTTTCTTTGAAGATGTTTTGCTTCTCATCCAAGAAGCTTCTTCAGCTCTGACTGGATGGTGGGGAAATTTGGATCTGGGACAATCATGACGTGGATGACTGAGAATCTCCATAGACATGTAGACCCTATCATTTTATTTCTAAACAGGCTAGGTTTTGCATGTTAGCAAAAATGGATTTCGGCTAAAAGGAAAACATGTTTTTTTGAACTTAGAAAGAAGGCACGGACATCATGCTAAAAGGCTAACGTCCACTTTTATTAAAAGTGATATTTAGCCTTTTTTATAGCCTTTTAAATTGTCAATTGGGTTTTAGTTTGAATGTTTTAAATTTTGGGCCAGAGTTATATAATTCTTTTAAAAATTTTAAATTTTGTATTGGTATGTGTTTTAGTTCCAGCTGTGCACCGCCTTGAGTCCACTAGGAGAAGGGTGGGATATAAATTGAATAAAATAAATAATAATAAATAATAATAAAAAAGCATTTTTCCCCCTCCTTCCGCTCAGTCATGTCCCGTTCTCCAAGACAACCTGGACAAATGTTTGCAATTTGGCAGGTGACATTTAGAATAGAATAAACAGAGTTGGAAGGGACCTTGGAGGTCTTCTAGTCCAACCCCCTGCTTAGGCAGGAAACCCTACACCACTTCAGACAAATGGTTATCCAATCTCTTCTTAAAAATTTCCAGTGTTGGAGCATTCATGACTTCTGGAGGCAAGTCGTTCCATTGATTAATTGTTCTAACAGTGAGGAAATTTCTCCTTAGTTCTAAGCTGCTTCTCTCCTTGATTCGTTTCCACCCGTTGCTTCTTGTCCTGCCTTCAGGTGCTTTGGAGAATAGCTTGACTCCCTCTTCTTTGGGGCAGCCCCTGAGATATTGGAGGACTGCTATTATGTCTTCCCTAGTCCTTCTTTTCATTAAACTAGACATACCCAGTTCCTGCAACTGTTCTTCCATGTTTGTTTGTTTGTTTGTTTGTTTGTTTGTTTTTATATGCCGCCCTTCTCTGGAGACTCAGGGCGGCTTACAATGCTTTAAGCAATAGCCTTCATACTTTTGTATATTTTTATACAAAGTCAGCTTATTGCCCCCACAAAGCGGGTCCTCCCGTCCCCTCATCATCTTTGTTGCTCTTCTCTCTGCACAATTCACAACTTCAATTTCACAATTTCAAGGAAACTACAGCAGAAAACAAGGAAAGAAAACTGAGAATAGCCTGGGGTGGGAGGTGGAGGGGGGCTACCCAAATTCAGAGACCCTCCAGAGGGGAGCCTGGGGGGGGGGCAGACAGTGCCAACTCTTTGCCCAAATAACGGGCGCCTGACTTTGCAAAAAAAAAACAAAACACCACAATTCTCCACGTTTCAAACTTTCCCGCCTTTTCCCCTCATAAGGAAACCAGGGCTCGCCCGGCGGGGCGGGGCTACGTTAACCACGCCCACTACCCTTGAGCGCGGCGCACCGGAAAGGGCTAGGCGGCCATCTTGGGTAGAGAAGCGAGGAGGGGCACGTGACCGGAACTTCCTGCCCCCCCACAGCCAAAGGCGGAAGAGGCGTCCGTGAGGCGGTTGCGATGGCGTCAAGGTTACTGCGGGTCTCTGGAGCCTTGCGGGCTCTCCGGGTGGGCCCGGCTGCCCTGGGGAAAGGGCCGGCGCCTCTGGCGGCGGGGTCTCGCGAGGCCAGCTCCGGAGGTGAGCTTTTCTCGGGCGGGCTCATCTTTTCCTCCCTCCGAGGCTTAAGACTACCCTTCCCATCATCCACCGCCCGGCATGGAGGGAGGGAGGGAAGGGCCTGCTTGAAGCCAATTGTGGGGGGGGGGGAAGTGCCTCAGGTTGTGTAAAAAGGGGGTGTTGCTGGGGCGCCTTTTCGTACCTGAAACTATGCCGAAAATGATCTGAGTTTCTGTGTGTGTATATTTTTATGTGTCTACATGTACATGTGTGTGCATTACATATATACACAAACATGTATGTGTGTGTGTGTGGTGTGTGTGTATACACACACACACACACTCACATTAAAACAGCCAAAAATTATGAGTTTCTGTGTATGTAAATATGTGCATGCATACATATCTGTACATACATGCATATGCACACACATAATTTTTGGCTTGGTTTTAGTGCGTGTGTGTTATATATAACATATGTATAACATATATATCTAACATATACATATAATATATTGTGTTATATATATATATATATAATACACGTATATATTTGTGCGCACATATATATGGGGGGTGATGTGTCTTTTTACCATGGGACTATAGACTATATATCTAAAAATAATCACAGGAGTGTAGAGTATATATACATAGCAGTGGTGAAATTCAAATTTGTTTACTACCAGTTCTGTGGGCATGGCTTGATGGGCGTGGCAGGGGAACTGTAAAATCTCCATTCCCACCCCACTCCAGGGGAAGGATACTGCAAAATCCCCATTCCCTCCCCACTCCTGGAGGAAGGATACTGCAAAATCCCCATTCCCACCCCAGTGCAGGGGAAGGATATTGCAAAATCTCCATTCCCATCCCACTCCTGGGAGAAGAATATTGCAAAATCTCCATTCGCACCCCATTCCTGGGGAAGGATATTGCAAAATCCCCATTCCTATCCCACGGCCAGCCAGAGGTGGCATTTGCCGGTTCTCCGAACTACTCAAAATTTCCGCTACCAGTTCTCCAGAACCTGCTGGATTTCATCCCTGATACATAGGGTCTAGAGTGTGGTGATAAAAATGACACATCACCTATATAATGAATAGGTATTCCATATATTAAATATAACAACAATGCTAAAAGATGCATGCTACAATAAAAGAGCAACAGCCACCCTCCATAAAAAATAACTGTAGAAACACAGCAGCCTCATTGTTCTGCAATAGATGAGCTTTTAGGTTTGATCAGTGATTCTCTGGTATTTATTTGATTGATGTATTATTGATATATTCTTCCATTCTTTTTCATTATTTCATATTATTTTACTTCTGTTCTGTTTCCCCCCCCCCTTTTTTTAATTACTGTAAGCCACCTACAGAAGCCCCGTGGTGAGATAGGCAGCAAATGCATTTAACAAACAAAGATAGGACAAATTGATTTTTATATATGACAATAAAATGAACGTATAGCTATCCAGCTGCTATGGAGCTAAACAGAAATTGTGGGGATGCTAGATAAAATATTCGGAGCCAGATTAATACACTCCATTTTATATGGGGCTGGTAGATTTTCTTTAGCCTTGTGGTTAGATTACTGGGAGACCATTCTAGAAGAAGTTGCTGTTTTCAGGGCAAGCAAATGTTTCATATAGCCTTTCAGCCCTCTGCTGCGGCTCCGTGACTCAAAATATGCGTCACAGCTGCCAATGTGCAACACCCGCCGGCACGTGATTTATTGAGCTTTTCAACCCCTGGTAGGTCAACGATGGATAAATCCAAGAAAAGAAAAGTTTCAAAAGAAAAGAGAACATTTAATTCAACTACCTATGCTAGTTTTGTGGCCGCTCAAGAAATAGACACGGGAAGGGTTTTTGTGGCTCCCGGTGTTTTCTTTTCTGTGGGAAACGGCTCCAAATGGCTCTTTGAGTGTTTAAGGTTGCAGACCCCTGCACTAGCTGGTTTAGTGGCTAAGACACTGAGCTTGTGGATCAGAAAAATCAGCAGTTCGGCGGTTCGAATCCCTAGTACAGGTCTCCTGCGTCAGCGGGGGGTTGGACTAGATGACCTCCAAGGTCTCTTCCAACTCTGTTACTGTTACATCTTACATATGATATCAAAGAATATTGGGCTTTATTTTTAGCCACGGGGGAGGGGGGATTTCTGAGCAGAATAGGAATCTTTCAGATTACCTAATATTGTCCTTCTCTACCCCAGGTATGGCTACTGATGAAGAACAGGCCACAGGAATGGAGAGGAAAGTTTTGGATACTATAAAGAAAGGAGTGGTGAGCAACACTTCTTTGAGCAATGATACTTTCACATGCCAAAACAGTTGACCGTAAGGAACCTCGGCCCTTTCTTGGAGGGGAAGCATTTTAGTTACCTCACTCGTCATCACTTACCTTCCAGACTTGATTAAAAGGGTCTGCTACTGAGTCTGCCCAAAGCCAACCCTATCCTCCACCGAAGCTCTGTAAATCAGGGGTGTCAAATTCAATTTCATTGAGGGCGGCATCAGCGTTGTGTTTGACCTTGGAGGGGCGGGGTGGGGGGCTGGCCAGCTTGACATCACTTGTGTCAGGAGCACCTGTGGTGGCCAAGTGCTAATGCAGGACTTCCCTCAGATCCTCCCTCCCTCTCATCTTTCCTTCCTTCCTTCCTTCCTTCCTTCCTTCCTTCCTTCCTTCCTTCCTTCCTTCCTTCCTTTATTTATTTAGCATATTTATATGCTGCCCTTCTCTGGAGACTCAGGGCGGCTTACAATGCGTTGAGCAATAGCCTTCATACTTTTGTATATACCTGCTTAGTAGGGCTTTCACCCTCCCCCAGCGGTGTTCTTTTTATACAAAGTCAGCTTATTGCCCCCACAAACCGGGTCCTCATTTTACCTACCACGGAAGGCTGAGTCAACCTTGAACCAACCTTCCTTCCTTCCTTTCCTTCTTTCCTTTCCTTCTTTCCTTCCTTTCCTTTCCTTCTTTCCCTTTCCTTCCTTCCTTTTCGTTCCCTCTTCCTTCTTTTCTTCCTTCCCATCTTCCCTTTTTCTTTCCTTTTTCCTTTCTCCTTTTATTTTGCTTTTAGTTTGTTTTAATAGCCTCCTCCCAGTGAAAATGGAGCTCAGGGGGTACCGCGTGCATTTTTGCTGGCAGAGGCACAAGCCGGTCCTTTTCTGTTTCCAGGCCAGCTCCACGGCCAAATTTAAGCACCCCCACGTGCCAGATCCGGCCCACGGGCCTCGTTGTAGATGGAGACAGACGATTTTGTCAAACAATCAACAAGGAAGGCCTTTTGACATCTAGACTGCTTCAGAATCCAGCTTAAGCCATGATTCATGACTTGAAGTTGGGAGTCGGAAGGGTTTAGTTAAATCCTTGGCCTGGGGGCTAGTTCCCCTAATGGCAGGATCGGATAATGAAATGCTTGAGGATAAAAACGATCAAAAGAGAATTTAGAATTGGCACACTAAGGACGGCACACGGGTACATAATTTCAAGGGCTTTAACCTTTCTCTCTCTCTCTCCCTCTCCTGGTTGTAGGATCCTTATGGAGTATATCCATCCAAACCGTACGGGGGAACAAAAGACGACCCCCACCTTGTCCCCTCCTTGACAAACGTGAGGCTCGTGGGCTGTATCTGTAAGTGGCACCTCCTACAGTAGACGTGTTTCTGGAAGCGTCTGCGGTGCTCTCTGAGCTCAGTTTTCTTGCAGGCGTTTTTTAACCAAACTAGGTAACATCATCAGTGCTAATACGTTGACGATACCTAGTGTGGGTAACGAGAAAACAACCAGGCTCAGAGAGAGCACCAAGGGCCCTTCCTTTCTACCCTGAGCTGCAAATATTCTCCTTTTATTGAGACCAGTTTCTTGAACAGTGTTTACTACCTTCCAAAAGACGATTGAGGGAAGGCGTTTGAAATCGTGGTTGGAGGAAGAACTATTGTACTTGATGCAGGGAAAAAAAAAGGCGACATCCTCTGGACCAGGGTTGAGGGGGGGATCTTAAAACCGCTTTTCCCTCAGTAGGGCAGGGGGACAGACCGGATCCAAGGGCGAACAAGGTGTGCTTTGAAGCAAACGGGGCCACCCAAAGCAGCGTTTTCCAACCTCAGACATTTTAAGATGGGTGGACTTCAACTCCCAGAATGATGCTGGCTGGGGAATCCTGGGAGTTGAAGTCCACGTTATCTTTAAAATGGCTGAGGTGAAGAAAGTCTGACTAGAGAATTTGTCTGCAAGGCCTCAAAAGCAGTTGCCCCGGATGCCAACCTCATGTGACCCCCCCCCCCCCCCAAAGTTGCAGCCTGATCCCGGAGAAAGACGCCTTTCGGTCAGGGAGTTGCCAAGGTCTGGCAATCCTCCGAGGGCAGGACAAGAAGCAACTGGGTGGAAACTAATCAAGGAGAGAAGCAACCTGGAATTAAGGAGAAACTTCCTAACAGTGAGGACAATTAACCAGTGGAACAGCTTGCCACCAGAGATTGTGGGTGCTGCATCACTGGAGGTCTTTAAGAAGAGAGTGGACAGCCACTTGTCTGAAATGGTATGCAGTGATGGCGAACCTATGGCACGCGTGGCGGAAGTGGCACACAGAGCTATCTCTCCGGGCATGCCAGCTATCGCCCGTTGCTATTCTGGGTTCCGGTGCGCACCGGCCAGCTGGTTTTTGCGCGCCAGGAGCACCGGAAATCAGAGCAGCTCCCTGGCGCGCATGCACTCGGTGCCTAAAAGGTTCGCCAACACTGGTATAGGGTGCCTTGCTTGAGAAGGGAGCTGGACTAGAAGACCTCCAAGGCCCCTTGCAGCTCTATTCCGATTCTGACTGCGCCGTTTGCCCCTTAAGCTGTCAGGCACTTTTCCTTTTGTCTCTGAAATATTGTGCAGTTTTGGCTATTTGGTCTCTCTCTTCCCAAAGCGTCTGCTGAGAATGCTTCCTTCTCTCATTTGAACAGGCCTGGTCACAAGAAGGAATCCTTCGGAAACTTCTTCTTTAGGCTTGCTGTTTCACTCCTTTATTCCTGCAACCACATACATTTTCTTACCAAAATTCCAAAGGATTCAGAGGGTTGCCTTTTTTTAAAAAAAAAAAAAAACTTGAGCGGTTAGGTTTTGCTTATTTATTTATTTATTGAATTTATTTGCCACCCGCATAGCAAGTGACTCTGAATGGTGGCCTAGAGGTGGAGTTCTCGCCTCGGGAGGCTCCGAGTTTGATCCTAGGTGGAGGCAGATTATTTCTCTCTCTGGGCCCTCTTAGAATAAATCTGCTGAATAAAAACTCCGCATTGGCGACAGGAAGGGCATCCGGCCAGGAAACACTCAGCTTAGGGGTGAAATGCTCCCGGTTCGGAACGGATCGCCCAATCGGGTAGCGATGGCGGCAGGTGGTTCAGAGAACTGGTAGCAAAAATCCCTGCCCCCCCCCCCCCCCCCCGGAGCCGCATGATCATCAGAGGCTGTTTTTTTTTTTACATTTAAAAGCATTTTTTCTACAACCTCTTCGACCGAAAAAATGCTTTTAAAAGTAAAAAAAAAACAGCCTCTGATGATCTCGCGGTTCAGCTGGGATCATCAGAGCCTTTTTAAAGCATTTTTTCTGCAACCTCTTAAGGTTGTAGGGGGAAAAAATGCCTTTAAAAGACTCTGGCGATTCCAGCTGAGTTGCCTGATCGTCAGAGGCTTTTAAAAGCATTTTCTTCTGCAACCTCAAGGTTGCCCACAGAACCAGTAGTAACAAATTTTAGATTTCACCCTTGACTCAGCTCCGTTCAGTTGCCCAGACTGAACCTCCGCAAGGGATTATGGGGTCATTAAAAGACAACGATAGCTAATAACTCTTGAGCATGTACACGTTTCTAATGCTTCTGGAGCATTCTCACAATCTCGTTTCTGCCCTTTCCTAGGCGAGGAAGATGCCACGGAGACGTACTACATTTGGCTTCACAAAGATAAAATAGAGCGCTGCCCTTCGTGTGGGGCCCATTTCAAACTGGTTCCCTGCGAATTGCCCTGAAAGGCTGCAGAACCCGAATTCTTACTTTTTTGGGGGGAAACACGGGCTCGAGCCAGAAATCTTGAATAAGTTATGAGGTCCTGTTATTTTCTGAAGCTTAATAAAAAGTCTTTCGACCCATTGTGTGAAACACATCCTTTGCGCGTTCTGGGTTTGTGTTTAAAAAATGCAATTTTAAGAGCTTCGAATAAGGTGGAGGAAAAAATGGCATTTGTCAGTTTCAAAGAAGCGGATTTGTTTCCCTGAAATTTTCTTCTGGAATTATGTGTGGACAGAAATGCCATGGCTGATGTGGGATCTTCCTCTCGGTGAATGTAAATTAACAAAGATCGCAGCGCCATCAGCCTTTATTGAAGGTAAACTGCAGCTGTTTTTAAATAGGGCCATGCAGTGAACATGGGAGTTCTCCCAGCACCATCATCATCTTAAACCAAAAATAACAACCTGGCTCAGGGAAGTCCACAGGTCATAAAAGTTTGCCCACCCCAGCTTAACTCGAGGTTGAACAGCACAGCTGTACAAGTCCTGAGCGGGGGAAAAAACAGCTTGAAGGTTTTCCCAAAATAATTTTAGTGGGTGTTGGAACCCTATAAACAGGCTCTACTATTTTCTATTCCACATAAAATATTTCTGACCGGCTTCCCCTGAATAAAAGCATCCAGAGTAATGAGTGGCAATGGAAAAAGACAGCTTATTTTTCCATATCGCGGAATAAAATCAAGTTTAAGAATCGGGGTGGGCTTGCACAATAGGCCCCCTTGTTGCCATGCCACGCAGTTTTCTCTGATGCCCAAACCTAAATCTCAGCCCATTTTCCTCTCCAACTTCAATAACCAGAAGATGAGAGACTGAACGTGGTTGAAGTTTGAAGATGATTGCAAAACAAGGTGTTGGACAGAACCAGCTGGCTTATAGATTCCATACTTTTAAAATAAAAATACCTAAAACTGGACAAATTACACGTCCTCAATTTACAGCTCACTTAATGAGGGCTCAACGTTCTAACAAGCTTTCAAAAAAGCGATGGCCTAGACCAGAGGTCCCCAAACTCTGCAGCTTTTAAGACTTGTGGACTTCAACTCCCAGAATTCTCCCGCCAGCAATTCTGGGAGTTGAAGTCCACAAGTCTTAAAAGCTGCCAAGTTTGGGGACCCCTGGCCTAGACGCTTAATTATCCCCCCTTGTGGTTCACATGAGCACAACTGGCACTTGGCAACAGGACTGCATTTATAATCGGTATGCAGGATTGTGCAATCATGTAACTGCCATTTGAGTCTGGCAAAAAAAAAAAACTATTGGGGAAGGTGGATTCACTTAACATAATTACTGTAAAATCAGGCTCACAATGAGACAAAATAGAAATTATGGCCCCAATTATGGCTGTATTGCAATTTAATGCTGTTTTGATCCAAAGTCACACCCAGGGGGATGGTGTGTACAGGTAACCCTAAATCCAAACCCGTGTGGTCTAACTTAACATTGGGGAGCAACTGCTATCCTGAAGATGGTTTCTTCTCCTGTTAATGGCATTCTCCCATCAATCTGGGGCTAGAAGCTTGCAGAAATCCTCAGTTCAGAGGATGCCCTGGTAACGGACTGGTAGCCAGCTCTCGGGGGGCTGTTGCTATCCATTTTTTTTGTCCATGTGCTGCGCGAACCCCAAATTTCCTTTGGCCAATTAACTCTTAACCAGCCGCCAGAGGCATTCAAGGGATTTTCAAAGAATGAAAGCAGCATCCTAAATCCCAACCCTCGAGCGTTGGAACTGCAGATGCAATGTGAGCGCGCATTGCTTTCGTCATACGGAGAAAAGCATCGTTCTGCTAGGGGCCAATCGATTTAAGCTCCAGCCTTTATTATACTTTATTCTCTAGCGTTTAATTCAGTCCTACTATCCTCCCTTAACATGGAGATCCACTAAACCGTATTGATCCATAACTGCATTTCAAAAGAGCACGTCTACTAAAAACTAAATAATTGAAATAGTTGCTTTGACATGTATTTATTGATATATTTGCCTTCTCTCCCCCTCCTCCCCAGTAAATGGGAGATGGTCACACAAACAACTCTTTGTATTGGCTACATAGCCAGCCCTGTAAATGACTTTTTCATACCTGTTTTCACATCACCGAACTATTCCAGACACAGCTCACCTGAAGCCAGACAAGCACAAACCCTTTTTAAAGTACTTAAAAGACAACATATATTTTTTTTTAACTTCCTTTCCAAAAGGAACTTCCGAACAGGGTATGATTATCTGCTAACAAGGGCAGAATAACCAAGAAGAAAAGTGCAATTAGTTATACTGGGACCAGACTTTGAAGCTGGAAGGGCTCATCCCATCCCTGGTCAGAGGGTTGAAAGTCCAAATTCACCCCATCCTCAACATTGGGTTTTTTTCTGAAATTTAAATCCTGCAGTCAGGAGTCACACAGGACAAGCCATGATTAATTCAATGTTAAGACCAGTGAACTTCAATTTCTGAAATTCCCCGGCCAGCCATGCGTGGGGAATTCTGGGAGTCGGAAGTCCACATGTCTTCAAACGTGGCCAAGGCTGAGAAACACTCGTCTAATTCCACGCCTATTTCTGAAGCGACCACAGCCGAGCTGACCACGGTCAACCAAGAAAGAAATGATGGCAGTGAGAGTGACCTAGTGCGCAGGAGATTGTGAACTCTGCTGCAGCGTCTGGACGGCCCCTGCGGGAATGGGGAAAGAGCAGACAGACTCAAGAGATTCAATCTCTTGCGTTTGCTGTGATCTGCAGCATCAGGAAATCCTTAGGGCAGTGATGGTGAACCTTTTCGGCACCGAGTGCCAAAACTGGAACGCATGTGCATGTGTGCGCGCTGGAGCACTGGAAAATCAAAGACCTGCTGGCCAGTGTACTCATGCCTGGTTTTTTTGGCTCTTTTCAGGCCGTTTTCAGGCCATTTTTCGAGTCATTTTCAGGCCATTTTTCAGCCTGTTTTTCGAAAACGGCCTGAAAACAACCCGAAAAACAGCCTGAAAATGACTCAAATAATGGCCTGTTTTTTGGCCATTTTGGGGGCCACTTTCAGGCTGTTTTCCGGGCTGTTTTCAGGCCGTTTTTCAGCCTTTTTTTCAAAAACGGCCTGAAAACAGCCTGAAAATGACTCTGGCACTTGCGAAGACCAGGTGGCCAGCGTGTGCCCGAAACCAGAAGAGCAGCTGGCAACGGGTGCATGTGCCCACAGAAAGGGCTCTGTGTGCCACTCTGGCACGTGTGCCATAGGTTCGCCATCACGGCCTTAGGGGATTGTTTAATTAATCCAACAGCTCCCTCCTATCTCTTCTAGTGATTTGCGTCAACGCTTCACGTGGCAAAACTGTGGTTTGGTAAAAGTCCAAGCAAGGTGGACTAGACTTATCTTCTGAAAAGTGCAACCAAAGAGCTTCCTTAGCCCAACCTTTGCAACGGAGCGTACACAGAAAGAAGGGCCACCCCACCCCCACCATGCCTGAAAAATTTAGGAGTTCTAACATGCTCCGTGAGCACCGAGTGCCAAAGACGGGTCTAGTCCCAGTATCTGAAAAGGCAGTTTCTCCCGCCACAATCTGGATGGCGCCTTCTTCCACCGCGAACAGAGCAGCCTCCAGACGCACGCCAAGCCACTGGCGGTTAATTTATAATTATTAGTATAATGAATTTACAAAATAAAAATACAGGCAACTGTGTTAAATTATTGTACATTGCAGCCCAGACAGGGGGATCTCATGGGGAAAGGATGGGGGGTGGGGGAGGGGGTGGAGAGGGGGAAAGTAGAGGGGCACTTCTGCCTCCAATTTGGTTTAGTTATTGTAGAGGAGCAACATGGAGAAGCCGACAAACGTAGGTACACATTTTAAGGGAACAGAGAATGTGTTTCTTTTAAATAAATTCATTTGCGTACACATTAAAAACGCTGAATGCTATTCCCAGGCCATGATCTGCAACACAGCCGAAGTGAAGAGGGGAGAGCTCGTCTTCTTAGCTGCTGGGCAGTTGGGATAATTATTGGAAACCTGCCCCCCCCCTCCCCTTTCACCAACACCCACCCACCCCCAGCTAGCAAAACCAGACAGGCTTTCAACTGGTCTATCTTTTAAGTAAAACCGTTTGAATTCTGGACTCTCGACGCTAGCCAGCTCCCCGAAAAGGCAGTAAGCAAAGGGGTCACCGCGCAGAGCGGATGGGGAGGGGGAGACAGGGTTTGTCCTGCAAAGCCTGGGGAGCAACTCTTAGGCTGTTCAGCTGAGGCCTGGCGGGTTGGCGCAGAGGGGGGGGTTGAATTGAAACTCAACACAGTTGGAAAGTTTGGGAAAGCTGGTCCGGGAGGCAGGGATGGGATCCAGAGCTGGCAGCTTTCATACACACAGATGAAGGCTACTCCCCTCCTCCCCTCCAAAGAGAGGCACGGCCATTTGCAATGCACAGCCACAAGAGTTGGGAGAAGTTGGGGGGGTAGCACGTATCAAGGTATTAAGAGCCAAACCAGACATGGGGTGGGGAAAAAAAAACAACTAAAAACGACAATATTGTGTAGAATGCGCTCAGGATAGGTTTGTCTTATTTCTTAGGTCAGTCTTAAAATGTTCCAGGTTCCTCCTACCTCCTCCTCCTCTTCCTCCCAGCAGCCACCTCAACTCCTCTCCCCACATCTCCAGCTCAGGGGAGACTCCTAAAGATCCCCCAAGGATGGGATGCTTCCGCTCCCATAGCCTACGCAACGCTGCAAGTCAGCCCTTTCCCACCTCCTATTTAGCTGAACCAGACCGAGATTTGGTTCTCCGTATTCTTTTCCCACTACTTATTTTAGAAGGACAGGGAAGGGGGATGGGGAAGCTGCCTGCCTCCTCTCTGGCTTGGCTTATGCCATCTCCAACTTGGCTTATGCCATCCCTGGAGCTGATCCCAAATTCCCGAGAGGAGACACACCGGAGGAAAGTCCGTGACTCTCAGTCCGTGTCCTATTCTCCAAGGGGCGTTCAGACATCCCTCTGGACCTCTGAGTCTCCTATTCCTTAAATGTCAGGATGGGGGCTGGACTGGGGGAAGGGGCTTCCGAGAGGGAAGAAGCTGGGCTTATGTCGAGGCCACCATTGCTCTGCTCTCAGAGGCCCCTTGGTTGATGAGTGGACCGAAGATATTTTTTTAGAGGGCAGGCTGAAGAACGTTTTTGATGTCCCTTTTCCCCCCAGAGATCAAGGGGCCCTTGGTAAGGTTGACAAAAGGTGGCAAGCAGGGCAGCAGCTGTTAAGATGCCATCTTCCCTAAGAGCTTTCTGACTTTTTTTGGTGACCGGAGGCATGGACACTCCTGGTTCCCCCCGAGAGGCGTCGAATGTGCGGATGGCTAGGAAGGTGGAGGTCAGGGTCCCTTCCTTGCCAAGAGGGCAGCCTTCCTCCTTGCCTGGAGCCCAAGGTAAGCACTGGGGCAAAGCAAAAGGGTTGCTCGGGAGGGGAATCGGGAGGTGGGAAGGGGCTTCAAAAGTCCCTCCCAGGTCAAGGGGCGAGGACCCTCCCACCCCCACCCCCCAAACAAGGCCTCGAAAGAGCAACACCTCCTCCCAGGGAGGTGCCTGCTAGCAACATGCATTTAGGGGTACTAAGAGAGGGAAGTGGGGGGGGGATAGGAAGGGAAGGGAAGGAAGATAGGAAGGAAAAGGGGAAGGAAGGAAGGAAGGAAGGAAGGAAGGAAGGAAGGAAGGAAGGAGAGGGAGGGAGGGAGCAGCCCTGGACAAGAAAGGATTACGAGAGAAGAGACAAGACCCCAGCTGCTGCTGCTTCCTGCTGCTGCCACCCCCGGCCCCTGTCCTAGAATGTCTTTCGATGAATGGCCCTCGAGCCGTCCTCCTCGTATTCCTTCTTGGAGACCCACATCTTCTTGAACGTGTCCAGCGAGGCCAGGATGGAGCCCCTGGGGGAGAAGACAAGAGGAGAATCAAGGAGCTGGCAAAATAACCTAGGTAGTCCTCAACTTACGGTCATCCCTTCAGTGACCATTTGAAGTTACAACGGCACTGGAAGAAAAGGGACTTACGACTTCACGCTTACAACTGTTGCTGCATCCCCAAGTGATCAGAATTTGGGCGCTTGGCAACTGGCATGTTATTCGTGACGATTGCATGTCCCTGAGTCACGTAATCCCCCTTTTGAGACCTTCGGACAAACGAAGTCAAAGGGGGAAGCCAGACTGACTTAACGACTGTGTTGTTGCTAACAACGGCAGTGATTCTCTTAACAACGGTGTCAAGAGAGGTCGTAAAACTGGGCAAAAGTCCCTTGACACATGTTTCCCACTTAGCAATTGAAAGAGACGGGGGAGAAAATATGCAGAGTCCAGACTTCGAGGAGAGGCCTGAGACTCAAGGACACACCTGCAGGTGTCCGCCAAAGCCAGAGACATTTTCTCATAACAATACAACAACACTCAACTGGATAATGTGACCTGCACTAATACGGAGGGTGGGAGGGGATTTTCATGCTGAATTATGTGTGTTTGCACAGGAATTAGGTAGAGCTGGTTTTGCCTTCAATGGTGCCAAAACAATGTACTCAATAACAAATCGGGACTCCTTATGCACCGTCACTCATGCCCTCGTCACTTCCCGCCTGGACTACTGCAACGCTCTCTACATGGGGCTCCCCTTGAGGAGCACTCGGAGGCTCCAACTGGTACAGAATGCGGCTGCACGGGTACTTATGGGGGCGACATGGCGCTCCCACATGATACCTCTCCTGCGCGTGCTGCATTGGCTTCCAGTGGTCTTCTGGGTGCGCTTCAAGGTATTGGTTCTCATCTTCAAAGCGCTCCATGGCTTAGGGCCCGGTTATTTACGAGACCACCTTCTGCCACCGATAACCTCCCACCGGCCAACACGTTCCCACAGAGAGGGTCTCCTCAGGGTGCCGTCGGTCAGGCAATGTCGGCTGGCGACCCCCCGGGGAAGAGCCTTCTCTGTGGGGGCACCCGCCCTCTGGAATGAGCTACCCCCCAGGGATACGACTGATCCCAGACCTCCGGACCTGAAGACTTTTTTATTTCAGCAAGCTGGGCTGGGTTAAAAATCTTTTAATTGGGGAATTTTATGGGTAAGGGGTTTGTAAATTGGGGAAGCCAAAGATAAATTTAATTTTGTTTTTATAGTATTTTAATGTTTGTATTGTGTGTTTTTAATTTTGGCTGTTCACCGCCCCGAGTCCTTCGGGAGAGAGGGCGGTATAAATTTTTTTAAAAAAATAATAATAAAAATAATAATAATAATAAAGCTTTTATGCTGAGACATTGGTAGGTCTCGAGTGTGCTTGCTTTGGTTGGGATCATCAGGCAGGACGTTGACATAGTATGACATGGGAAGCCAGAGGCTCTCCAACTCTGAACTGCCATTGTCCCTTAAAACAATGAAGGCATGATTCTCTCGCCCGCATATTAAACCACAGCAATGACTTCCTGGGGCTGAGCTTGAGATATTTGAAAAACACAATGAATCACTTATATTTAACAACAAAATGTGATTAGAGTTTTGTAACTTTATAAAATAAAGTTTTATTTTCATTGGAAAAACGACCAATCCAAATGCTAAGTTTATCTCTTAGCAGGAAGGATGAGTTTGCTTGGTTTTTTTCAAAAAAAAAAAAATGCTAAAATTTAAGATTTTGTTTTTGGGACAGCTACTTTTCCCTCTCACTCTACATTTATCTTGAATCAATATCTGTTCCTTACAAAAAATTCAAAATTCAGATTCTGCCGTCAGCTCCTCCGGGCCCAATGAGAGCAAATTCTGACAGCAATCTAGGTTTGGCAATGACGACAAAAGTAAAGGTCTTGGCTTAACTTGAGGAAAACCCAGACTGCATTCTTCTAGTGCTCAAGTCTTTACAAACCCAATCCAGTTTATTCCCCTTTCCCAATTTGAAAATCTCTGGTTTAAGGTATTGCATGAACTCATCCAACCGTGGTTTGTCTAGCAGAAGACCGGATTCACAAACTAGACCTGAACATGGTTTGCTGAATAATTAAGCACAACGGCCGAATTTGCAAAGGGCACTAAATGAAAAATCAAATAAACCACATTCCTGTTCAGGAAAGCTAAGTCATTATAAAACATGGCTACTACACTGGGGCTCCTGGTGGAAACCACCAAGGGTGAGGAAGGGGAACATTCTTACCCAATCCACGTTGAGTATAATCTCTCCTGAGGAGCCGAAATCTGGAAAGGAGAATACAGAAGCATGCTTAGACAAGAGGGATAGAATCAAATTCACGCAAAGTGCTAATACCACTTTACAGTATAATGCCTTGGTAAGGCCACACTTGGAATCCTGCATCCAGTTTTGGTCACCACGATGTAAAAAAGATGTGGAGACTCTAGAAAGACTGCAGAGAAGAGCAACAAAGAGGATTAGGGGACTGGAGGCTAAAACATATAAAGAACGGTTGCTGGAATTGGGTATGTCTAGTTTAATGAAAAGAAGGACTATTTTTCGATTTCGAAATCGAAGATGAATACAGCAATAGAGAGAGATGAGGAGAAGCGAGGTGGAAGGGAAGAGGAAGGAGAGAGAGGGAAGGAAGAGTAGGGAGGAAGGAAGGGAAGGGAAATTAGAGTAGGAGAGAGGGGAAGAGAGGGGGAAGAGAGGAGGAGGAGAAGAACGGGAGGGGATGTAGATAAGAGAAGAAGAGGAGGGGAAGAGAAAGTAGGAAAGAAAGAAAAGAGGGAGATGGAAGGTTGGAGAAGAAAGATTGCTGTACAATAAAAAAGATGAAACGGAAGAAAGGCAACCCCGAACAAACACAAATATATTAAGATAAAGAATGAACTGTTAAAGAATAAAAGAGAATAAATATGAATAAGCAGGAGAATTAGAATTTGAGGGCGAATGAAGATGTTGTTTATATAAGTAAGCAAAGAAATATTGAGATATGATTAAAAAAAGGGAAAAAAAGAAAATTGTGGCAAAAATTATAATTGAGTAAAATGTATTTGAATTTGATAAAATTGTATAAGATAAGATGTGGCCAATACTCTGTTCAAAAAAAGATGTGGGTGAATGGGGGACCAATAAAACTTGATTAAAAAAAGAAAATGAAAAGAAGGACCAGGGGAGACATGATAGCAGTGTTCCAATATCTCAGGGGCTGCCCCAAAGAAGAGGGAGTCAAGCTATTCTGCAAAGCACCTGAAGGCAGGACAAGAAGCAACGGGTGGAAACTAATCAGGGAGAGAAGCAACCTAGAACTAAGAAAAGCTCAGAGATCTAAGGTTCCGTTTTGGAGTCTGCACCCTCCAGGCAAAAAGTAAGTCCTCCACTTAGAACCATTTCGTTCTAAATAACTCCCATGAGGTTATTTAGGGTTTGTTTGGTTTTTTTTAAAACTTGAGTTTACCCTCGTGAATGGAATTAGGGCTGGAAATGTAACATTTTTTTCCCCGTCGATTTACCTTGATCTTGACGTCTTTTGGAGCGAGTTTCTTCACTTCGTTGAGCAATCGGTCCCCGAAACCTTAAAAGAGTCGAGAAGGCAAGTTAACACCCTCTTAAAGCGCCAGAATAAAATCTCGGCCAGCGATGAGGAGGTGCTCAGGGCATCCAAGGACTAAATCTGCCTGTGACTCCGCTGGGTGGAATTCAGGGAAATTGGCACCCAGCTTCAGTCTCTCTCCCTATCTCTCCCACCCTCCCTCTCTCTCACACACACACTGTTTATCAGGCAGTCATCTTGAATGCTTAGAGATCAAATTATTCTAATTTTTAAAATAAAAACAAGCAATTAACAAATGCCACTTTTACTATCCTGTTTTATTGCTTAAATTTCTAACAATATACTTAAGTTTAGGCAGCTTTCCCCCCCCCCCTACAGCTAGTAGTCCTTGAGTTAGGACTGCAATCGGGACTGGGATTCCCGTCGCTAAGCAATGCACTTAAAAAGTGTTAACGTCCTGCCTATACTTAGCAGTGGCAATCCAGGCAGTTCCGGTTGTCATGGTAACCCAAGGTGTGTCAGTTGTTGAAGAGGAAACAAGAGAAAACCCCAGGTAAGATGTAAAGGGTGCTGTGGGGGGGGGGGGGGGGCTGAGAGGCCGCAGGCTGCACCCGAATTGGGGATGAGGGTGCTGATTTACAGCACAAGCTCAGGAAGGCTAAACGTCTGTTGGAGATTGTCAATCTTCCAGGTCATGATTATCCCAAAGGTATTTTTTTCCCCAAGCACCTTTGGGACTCAGGAAGGCTGGGGAAAGAGGAGGGAGAGGGGTGCGTGCGAAGGTAGGGAGACCCAGAAGAAGGGGGCTGGTCCGTCTCTCTTGCGTATTTAGTGTACAGTGCAATTGCACAAAGGTTGGGGAAAGAGGAGATTCCTAGAGAGGCTCTGGAGGCTGGGGACAGCAAAAAACGTCCCTTCCTGTCCTACCGGGAGTTGGGAAATGGGCCGTTTCAGGCCTCCGAAGGGCCTCCGAGGGGATGGGGAAGGCTGTTTTCGCCCTCCCCAGATGCAGAGAGAGGATCTGGAGCCAGGTGAGAAAGAAAAACGGGCCTACCTGACCATCGCGTGCCAGGAGTGGGGGGGGGTTCCACAAATCTTAAAGTTGCCAAGGTTGGAGATGCCTGGACTAGAAGACCTCCAAGGTCCCTTCCAACTCTGTGGTTCTGTTACCTATTATTTGTTACAAGTGGGAAGTACCGCCTCTGCGTCAACGGAGTACCTTTAAAGAGTGTAGATCCTCCAGACAGGACAATGTTCCCAAACAGCGTTCGCCTCAGGTCCATGTCAGATTTCTGGATGGCGAACACCAACACTTCATGGATCCCTTCGCTTTCGTCTCCTATTAGGTCCGGTTGGAAAAGCAGCTCAGGAGCTCGGAATCGGGATGGACCAATCTGTCCCAAAAAAGCCACAAGGTCAACTCTGCTTCAGCAGGATTGCTCGGTCATAAACATTAGTAAGCTGGAAGAAGGTTCCTCCCCTCTCCTTATCAAATATGGCTGAATTAACCAATCTCTGATGCATAGCTAGGAACTCATAAAGCTTTTGTTTTTAAAACAAAAATCATCATAGTGCTCCTCTTGCACACTGAAACAGGTGGTTTCACATCTCAGGAACAACACACATTGTTTTAATTCAGGAACTTACATCTAAAGTGCTTCCGTCGGGCAGCGTGTACTGCACCTTCTCTGTCTCTAAGGCTTCATCCTTCTGAGGGTTGATGGATAGGTAGCAAGCTCTCTGTAGGGAAGAAGGAAGTATGTGAATCACCTGAACTAACCCTGGAAGCCACCAGGTAGAGAAGCTCCTCGTAGGTCCTTCCTGGTGGGGCGGGAGGTCAGTTAAGCCTCTTCTCCTTCACTTGACCAAGGCAAGACCTTGGACCATCTCATACCAAAAGTCTGCTGCGGTTGCTCATTTTCAAACCGAACTGGGGATGGCTAGTCTAGTGAAGAGAAGGACCAGGGGAGACAGGAGAGCATCTTCCAATATTTGAGGGGCTGCCCCAGAGAGGAGGAAGGGGGTCAAGCTATTTTCCAAAGCACCCGAAGGCCAGACAAGGAATAATGGATGGAAACTGAACAAGGAGAGATTCAACCTGGAAATAAGGAGGAATTTTCCGACAGTGAGAACAATCAACCCATGGAACAGAAGTTGCCTTCAGAAGTTGTGGGAGCTTCATCCCTGGAGGCTTTCAAGAAGAGACTGGACTGCCATCTGTCAGAAATGGTGTAGGGTCTCCTGCTTGGGCAGGGGGCTGGACTGGATGACCTACAAGGTCCCTTCCAAATCTGTTAATTTTTTTTTTTTGATTTGATTTATATGCCGCCCTTCTCTGGAGACTCAGGGCGGCTTACAATGCGTTAAGCAATAGCCTTCATACTTTTGTATATTTATATAAAGTCAACTTATTGCCCCCACAAACTGGGTCCTCATTTCACCTACCTTAGAAAGGATGGAAGGCCGAGTCAACCTTGAGCCTGGCAATATTCGAACTTACTTTAATTGCAAACAGCTGGTGTTAAATTACAGTGCCTTGTCCACAGAGCTATCCAGGCTCCTAATTTGTTAAATGGTGTGGCTCTGATGTTTTCTGTTGTGCTTTGTATGTATTTTATCCTATTTCACAGACACCACGCGCTGGTTGCTGAAGAAGCCCCACTACTCAAATCAACAGGGCTGCTTGCGTTCCTATCCGCGTGACATAGCAAAGCCACTTCACAGGCAAGGAATTCTTTGAAGCTTCCATGGCAGGCATTCCGCTCGCTGAAGGCAGCTGCTTTGAAAGTCAGAAACAGCTTCTGCCTCCTTCAGCGTCTGATGGACACTTCAAAGAAGCCTCTTGCTGAACAGCGGCTTCCAAGACAAATCGGGAACCGCGATCGCCAGTTTAACACCATCTCTGGCTGAAGCTTCCCTTCTGTGAGATGCTCAATGCTTCCATTTACCAGCACAGCAGGGAACCCCTGTCCCAACTGCAGTGAGGGCAAAGAGCCCCCATAAATCCATGTATATCCTCTTCTCCCTGGATTCTTCCATTCCCCACTATCCTGTCACAGCTGAAGAAGCTTCTGGGATGAGAAGTGAAACGTCTTCCAAGAAAAACAAGAGTTGCCTCCTGAAAAAGCACCTTTGAGACAACCATGACCTGGATGACTGAGAATCTCCACAGACTTTTAGCTATGCAATTTGGGATGAGCACCCTTTGAATGGTGTGGGAGTAGGAACGGATTTCCAGAGGGGAAAAAATTGCAGACTACAGGAACCATTTGCACCACTCAGGTGATACCCTGAGGACACAGGTAGACCTCCAAGTGGCCTCAACAACCCTCTAAAAGGATGCAAATGACCAGCTCTGGTGGCTCAGCAAATTAACATCCACTTACATCTGCTGCCTGCAATTACTGCAAGTTCGACTCTCACCAGGCTCAAGGTTGAACTCAGCCTTCCATCCTTTCTAAGGTAGTGTTGTGGCCCTGCCCTCTGAGCCTGTCCCATCGGAGGAAGAAAGCTCTGAGCATGAGGAAGAGGAGTCAGCCAGGCCTCCCTCTCCAGGCCCCCCCCCTCTGGCACTGTCTCAGGAGCCGGCCGAGGGAGAGGAAATTAGCCGGGAGACAGGTGTCTCGGATGAGAGTGAAGGAGAGACGTCATTCCTGGATGCACGCCTCCGAAGGCGTGATAAACGATTGCAGCAGCTCAGGAGGCGTGCTAGGGATTAGAACTGAGTCACTGGACCACACCCCAGAGACTATATAATAGAGGGTGGTGGCCAGTGATCCCTGTGACGAACAAAAATAAACCTTGGATAGTCACTAAAGCATCGTCCGAAACTGCTGAGAGGAATATTATTTCTGTTGGACTCTTGTACGCTGAGTATATTATCTTTCTGTTTCTGTGGAAATAAAAGCACTTGGCAGACGGTGTGTATATCGCTGCCAAGTTGGAGATAAAGACCTGGGTGTGTTCCAAGTGCTTCCTTAATCCTCGGCTGGCTGTGTTTGTGTGTGTGTGTGGACGGGGACAGATCAGGTAGGTAAAATGAAGACCCAGATTATGGGGGCAATAAAATGACTTTGTATAAATATACAAAAGTATGAAGGCTATTGCTTAACGCATTGTAAGCCGCCCTGAGTCTCCGGAGAAGGGCAGCATATAAATCAAATTTAAAAATAAAAATAAAAATGCTGCATTGCATGCTAACTCTGCCCACAACCAGGAGTTCAATCCGGACTGGCTCAAGGTTGACTCAGCCTTCCATCCTTCCGAGGTGGGTAAAATGAGGACCCAGATTGTTGGGGGCAAGAGGCTCACTCTGTAAACCGCTTAGAGAGGGCTGTAAATAAGTCTTAAGTGCTATTGCTATAAAGTCCAGTTGCCTCCAGAAAAAGCACCTTTGGGACAACCACGACCTGAATGACTGAGAATTTCTACGGACTCTCCCTGGGCCTTACCTCTTTTATTGTCTTGACCACTTCAAACTCGGCCGAGGTGTGGAAGTCGTAGCCCTCTTTCCGTAGCAGCAAGCGGAGGTAACGGGACACATCCCTCCCGGCAATGTCGACCCGCATAATGGAGTGAGGCATGGCAAAGCCCTCATAGATGGGCACCGCGTGCGTCACGCCATCGCCAGCATCGAGCACGACTCCCGTGGTGCGGCCTGTGGCATAACTGGAAGAAGGCAGAGAGAGATGGGGTGGTCAGTCCAATAGGCCTTTTAGCGGCACCCAACTTTTTGAGTACCGGGGACCGTTTCCATGGAGATTTTTTTCTGTGGACTGGAGGGGCCGTGGTTTCGCATGTTGCCTGCATCCTCTTGATGGGGCTTTGCTTGTTTGCACGGCCCGGTTTCTGGCATGTGGCGGCCCAGCGCCAGTCCACGGACTGGGGGGTGGGGAGCCCTGCATTAGGCTAAGGAATCAAGTGGACAAAGACTGGGCCTGACTCAAATTTCTTTCAGACTCTGTTATTCCTTCACATCATTCATTCATTCATTCATTCATTTATTTTTCAGATTTCTATACCGCCCTTCTCCTTTTGGACTCAGGGCGGTGAACAGCCAAATATAAAACATTCGTACACAAAAGTTAAAATAGATTTAAAATAATTAAATAAAATTTGGCCCATAATTTAAAACATTTCAATTAAAATCAATATCAAATTTTAAAACCAACCATAAAATCAGGAATATGTACATCATGAGACAATATCAATATACATCATGAGACAATTCCTAAAATAATGCATTTGCAATATAAAAAGATAAAGGTTCCCCTTGGACATATGTGCTAGTCGTTCCTGACTCTAGGGGGCAGTGCTCATCTCCGTTTCAAAGCCGAAGAGCCAGCGCTGTCCGAAGACGTCTCCGTGGTTACGTGGCCGGCATGACTCAAAGCCAAAGGCGCACGGAACGCTGTTCCCTTCCCACCAAAGGTGGTCCCTATTTTTCTACTTGCATTTTTTACTTGCTTTCGAACTGCTAGGTTGGCAGAAGCTGGAACAAGTCACGGGAGCTCACCCCATTACGCGGCGCTAGGGATTCGAACCGCTGAACTGCCGACCTTTCAATCGACCAGCTCAGCGTCTTAGCCACTGAGCCACCGCGTCCCTCATTTGCAGTATAGGTAGTCCTTAAGCAAATTTTGCCCCATTTTACGTCCTTTCTTGCCACATTTGTTAAGTGAACCACTGCAGTTGATAAATTATTAACCTGGTTGCTAAGTGAATTTGGCTTTCCCAATTGATTTCGCTTTTCAGAAGGTCGCAAAAGGGATCACTGGGACCCCGGGACACTGCGACCGTCATAAATATGAGTCAGTTGCCAATTGTCTGAATCTCCACACTTCCAGCATTTAGAAACTTACAGGCTGAGTTCCCAAAAGGTTTTCGAAAAGGGCAACTGGACTTTCCTTGGTGTTCTCCTTGAAAACGTTTCGCTTCTCATCCAAAAAAAAAGAGCCTTGATAATACAGTGGTCTAAAGCACCCTGTTATTAAGACCAGCTGTCTGCAATTACTGCAGGTTCCAATCTCGCCAGGCTCAAGGTTGACTCAGCCTTCCATCCTTTCTAAGGTAGGTAAATTGAGGACCCAGTTTGTGGGGGCAATAAGCTGACTTTGTATAAATATACAAAAGGATGAAGGCTATTGCTTAACGCACTGTAAGCCGCCCTGAGTCTCCGGAGAAGAGCGGCATATAAATAAAAAATTTTTTAAAAAAAAGCTGCCTGGATGAGAAGTGAAATGTTTTTTTTTACTTTTAAAAAAGTTTTTTATTTCATAAACAAACAAACATACAATATATAATCTATCAGTCAATATGTCATCTGAATACATCTTTTTTCCATCTTACTCCTCCAATAATTGTCATATCTTAATATTATCATTTCATTTATTATTACATTTCCCCCACATTTACTTTTCTATTAAAACATTTATCTATTCAACACTTTAATCCCAACCCAACCTTTGTCCCTCCCTCCCCACCCCCCCACCCCCGACTTCCCAGGGCAAAAACAGGGTATTACATTTAACAAGCATAAGCTAAAATATACTAACTAACTACAAAGATCAAAACGCCCTCACGCTCTTTAACTCCTCTTTTACAAATTCATCAACCTCTCTTTTATATCTTCCTAAATATAAAGACCTTTTTCTTGATGTATAATCCAAAGATTTTACAATATTACCAACATTAAAAATCATAGATAAGTTTCATTTCCACACCCTCAAACACCATTCTTTTTCAGCATTACTCCCTAATAAAAGTGAAATAGAAGTGAAATGTTTTCAAGGAAAAGAAACCCAGGAAAGTCCAGTTGCCTTTTGAAAAAAAAAAAAAAAAAAAAAAAAAAAACACATTTGAGACAAACTTAACCAGGATGGTCCAGATCTCTTACATAGACACTTACAGACTGAGGACAGCTTGCATGGAGATGAAGAGCGCAGGGACGTTGAAAGTCTCAAAGAAAACTTCTGCAGCCTTCTCACGGTTTTTGCTGGGGTTTAGGGGGGCTTCCGTCAAGAGAACAGGATGCTGGAAGGAAAACGGAGGGTCCACATCAATGTCCCAAAACTGATGGAATGTTTCCAAGCCCCTTTTTCCCATTGGACATCCCACCCCAGGCACTGAAAAGGCCCAATCCAGTACGAAGGCACTAAAATTGCAGCAAAGCGAATTCTATTCACTTTCCTAAGGACACGATTTGACGTACAGCATTGAAGGTTAAGGGCCTCTCTATTAAACCACGTGCCAGGCCTGGAAGCCATCCTTTGCACTGGGCCTTCAGACCTGCCACATTTGCTACTGTGGGAAACTGGGAAGGGGGGGGGTTGTGTGGAGCCGTGGGTGATATGTAGTCAAAATAACATTCCTTTCTCAGAGAGTCAAGGACATCTTGCCCTGCACCTGGACGGATGTAACTGAGAGGCAGTTGGGACGGTGCTTGGATTCGACCATGTGATGGACACGTGGGAGTTGGGCAGGGACTTGGAATTTCTTTTGGGTGGGGAAACCCTGGAAGCTCTCAGATTCGGGTTTCCCCAGACGTGCCAATATGACATCTCTAATAAAATGTAACTTTGAGGAAACTCAAGCTTCAGAGTTTTCTTTCGTTGGGTGTGTTACTTGGTACCCTGACACCACATTTTTCACAACGTTGTGTTCTTCAGGAACATGTTTAATCGTAACCAAGGTTGGAGCAAAGGTTTCCTCTGGCATCTGAACCACCCAGAGACAAAACAGGCTTACATTACAGCAGGAAGCAGGTTCTAGAAAGCTCTGGAACCCACCCCTTTACCACAAGTGTGGTTTTTCCACACCTACTGGTTAGGAAACTACCAGAAGATCTTTAAGGCTCCAATTCCCTTATCCCTGCACTATATAGTGGTACACAGTACCTTGGTACTCAGCTGCTTTGAAACTCGAAGAATTTGGTACTCAATGCATTTTGACGTGAACGTTTTGTCCCAGCTCGAGGCTCATGATTTAATTAGGGTAGAACCGTGACACCTACATGCTGTCTGGGGAATTCTGGGAGTTGAAGTCCACAAGACTTAAAAGTTACCAAGGCTGGACAGCCCTGGCTTACACACATCACTTCTAAAAAATATTAAAATTTAAAAACAAACACAGAAGGTTACAAAATCTCCACCTGAACTCATGAGCCAGGGACAACATATTTTACCTCTTCTGAAAATGTCTGCAGCTGGTCTTTGGAATAAACGTACTGCCAGATTCTCTCCATGTCGTTCCAGTCCCGGACAATGCCGTGCTCCATGGGGTACCGGATGGATAACAAACCTCGGTGTTCCTACAGGAGAAAGAGAAATAATTCTGCTACAGAGGATGGCACCCAGCAGCCAGAAGAGGAATCCCCTCGGGTGGGGAGAACAGATAATGTCCAAAATATATCACCTCTGTCTACATGGACGCAACAGAAAAGTTCAAAGGTGGCCTATTGCAAAGCACACCAAACCTCTCTAAAACTCCTATTTGCCTATGAGTGTTAAATAAATCATCGTCTAGCTATATATCTGTTCTTTCTGTAGTATAAGGTCCATTGGTGGCGCAGTGGTTAGAATGCAGTATTGTAAGCTGACTCTGCCTACCGCCAAAAGTTTGATCCTGACAGGTTGACTCAGCCTTCCATCCTTCTGAGGTTGGCAAAATAAGGACCCAGATTGTTGGGGGCAACATGCTGATTCTGTAAACCGCTTAGAGAGTGCTGAGAAGCATTATGAAGCGGTATATAAGTCTAAGTGCTATTGCTATTTTTTTCCCTTCCTTCCTTCCTTCCTTCCTTCCTTCCTTCCTTCCTTCCTTCCTTCCTTCCTGCCTGCCTGCCTGCCTGCCTGCCTGCCTGCCCTCCCTCTCTCTCTCTCTCTCAGTGGTTAAAAGGCAGTACTGAAAGCTAACTCTGCCCACAGCCAGGAGTTCAATCCTGACCAGCTCAAGGTTGATTCAGCCTTCCATCCTTCCGAGATTGGTAAAATCAGGACCCAGATTGTTGGGGGCAACATGCTGACTCTGTAAATCGCTTAGAGAGTGTTGAAAAGCATTATGAAGCGGTATATAAGTCTAAGCGCTACTGCTATAAGCAAAACTCTTAATTAATAAAGAGAAAAATCAAGTCGAATTACCATTTTAGGTGGGGAACAGGGTTCAAATGAAACCTGGCCAAGACTGAGTGGCTCTGGATTTTGCGGCCCTTTTGGGTCTGTACCACCTTTGGTACCAGAAGGGGGTATCCCAGAGATACTGTGGGTGGGATTTTACCTCTGCTTTCGGTCCAATGAAGAGATCTCCTTCAAGCGCTCCAGCCATAACACGGACATGCTTCGGGCGGCCCACACTAGCAAGAAAGAGAGCGATTATCACTCTGCACATGAACATGTGTCAATCTTACGAGGTAAACCAGACCGAAAATACAATTAGACCTAATTCAATTTCACTGTAAAATTACATTAACTCAGGGGTGAGCAAATATGGCCCCTTTACGACCTGTGGACTTCAACTCCCAGAATTCCTGAGCCAGCTTGGCTGTCTCAGGAATTCTGGGAGTTGAAGTCCGCAGGTTGTAAAAGGGCCACATTTGCCCACCCCTGCATTAACTGAATCTTGCAAATCTGAAAGGATGATTTTCCCGGCATCTCCTTTACAGCGCAAGAAACTAGGGAGGGTTCCTGCAACCCTCCACATTTCTGCTGTGGATCCAAGCTGCCTTTTATCTAGCTGTTCCCTTGGCTGTTTGCCCCGTTTCCAAAGGTAATTCCCACATACTATTACACTGGGGAACCCTTTAAAATTTATCATCAAACCCTAACCCCCCCCAGCCCCCCCTCTTGTTCCCAACTTTCTACACCTAACAACGTATGAGACAAGGAGTTTTGGAGCGATACTCACTAGTTTGGGAAGCAGTATTTTGGAATCTGATCTCCAGCAAAGCCAGCTTTAACTACTCCTGAACCCTGTGTGAAAAAAATAAATAAACCCTCATCAACAGCAAGGCAAAAGACATTTTGGTTCAAAACACACTGGGTAGCAGAGAAAAGTTTGCCACACGTCGCTTACTGGCCTAAAACTGGCACTGAGTAAGTAAGTAAGTAAGCTTTTTTATTGCGGTCAGAGACCAAATTAAAATACACATAGAAGGGGAGTATATTTTACAAATATAGATAGATCACGTGACAGTACACCATCTACTGCCTTAGATACACTCTGTACTAACAATACTAGTGATCCTCTGCCGTAGGGGTTACCCGTCTCTTCCCTCGTTTTTTTTCAGCCATGACTGCAGCAAATTTTTTTGCCACTTTTGGAGTTATATTGGGGTCTGTGTCCTGGAGTAGGAAATAAAGGCTGAACAGATCAGGCGAACCAGGGAATCTCTGGGAAATAGGAGAAATGAATCTTGATCTTATGTCTCGGTAGTGGGGACATACGAATGTAATGTGGAACAGAGATTCCGAGGATCGGCCATCACATGTACAATAGGTTTGTAGTCCACTTTTAAAAGTCCAGAGCTAGCAATAAAATCACAACAAATCCAATTCATGTGAATGTCAAATTATGGACAAGTTGTCTTTTCACCGCCAGCACAACTATGTCATTCACCTATGCTGAGAAGAAAGCTGCACTAAATCCAACTGGTTGTACTTCCCTACCCATGTGCACCCATACAATTGCAGCCGGAAACTGAAGTAAGAATTCAGGAAATCTTGGGGGTCCAAATTTCACGGCCATTATGAACTCACAAAGTGTCATCTGACATCCGTTTTCCTAGAACCAAAGACGCAGCCAAGGGATATTCTTATTAATCTTCATATATAGAAATAATATACAGTATATCACAGAAGTCATCACTTAGGGGTGTACTCACTTTTGTTGCCAGTGTTCTGTCCCCGTCTCACACACGCACACCAGCAGTCGACCAAGAGTTAAAATAAACCAACAGACAAGAATTTCCTTTGACAACAGAATTGGCAGCAACCCAGTGGCTGCTTGCCAACAGTCTTTACTTACAAAGGGAGGGTTATCTCCTCCAACCGAAAACATCAAAGTAAATCCACAAAAGCCAAAGAATAGTCAAGTCCAGTCCAAAAAAATCAGTCCAAGCAGAGCATATAACAAAGTTCCAGAAATGCAGAATGACTTGCTAGCTTTCAGTTTTGTCCGTCACAAAGCCTGAATGGCCACCACACCCCCTTTTATCCCCTGTGGGGTGTGGTCCAGTGACTCAGCTTAATCTCTGTCACGCCTCCTTCTCTGTTGCGCGCGCTTGTCTTTCCGACGCTGTTGGGGATCCAGCCAAGACTTATCTCCATCGCTGTCTAACTGCGGCTGCTCGGAAATGCCTGGCTCCTGGCCTATCTCTTCTCCTGCAGAAGACACCTGAGCCATTGCCAGAGAGGAGGGTCCTGGAGAGGGAGGCCTTGCCAACTCCTCTCCTTCACTTTCGGAGTCTTCTCCCTCCGATAAGACGGGCTCGGGGGCCAGAGTCACAACAGCCAGCAGTTTAGACATGAATGGCTGTGCGTTGCGTTATTTTGAGGGGACAGCATATTTACACTGTTATACAAGCTGTACAGTCAGTACTTCACATTGTAGCCAAGCGTCATTTCTTCAGTGTTGTCACGTGAAAAGATATACTTAAATATTTACAAAATGGGAGGGGGTGTGCTCACTTCTGTGACACACTGTATAGAATTATAATAGAGAAATAAGCCTGCAGTTTTCAGCAACGTTTTGGGAAGTGGTTTGCCATCGCCTTCTTCTTAGGCTAAGGCAAAAATGAAGAATATATGAGTGGATGGTTTTGATTTCAATTGCAAAAAAAGGTGCTTTGGAGCCCATGAGGGTACCAACATAGCATCTACCGTATTTTTCGGAGTATGACGCAGTTCCCCCCCCCAAAAGAGGGTGAAAATTTGAGTGCGTCTTATACACCAAATGTCGCCCCGCCTACCCACCGACCCCCACCCTTTGGCCTCTGCCTCCCAGCAATTTACCTCCTTGCAGCAAACAGCCTGTTTCAGCTTCAGCACAGCCTGATTAGCACAAGCAGTTGATTGTCCATCGGCCTCCCGACCCTCAGCTGTTTCAGGGACTGCCATTGCCTATTGCCACGCGGGCCTCCACTGTTTGCTGCAGAGGCAAATTGCTGGGAGGCAGATTTTTTTTCCTTGTGCTAATCAGGCTGTGCTGAAAATGAAACTAAAGCAGGCTGTTTGCTGCAAGGAGGCAAACTGCTGGGAGGCAGAAGCAGATTTTTTTTGTCTTGTTTTCCTCCCCAAAAAAGGTAGGTGCATTTTATAGTCCGGAGCGTCTTATACTCCGAAAAATACGGTATATAAAAGGACCGCATTTTTACCCTGATTGTACAACACGCAACTTTCTATAACTCATCTGAAGCTCTGCATATCTCTAACAGACCTAACTTAAGGCATCTTCTAGGAATTACACTGAAAATAATTCATCCAACATACATAACTGAAGAAAGAAGTAATAAGACAGATAATCTGTCTTATTAGGAAACAGTAGATTTTGAGTTGCCACAAAAGGTTAAAAAGTTATATTTATGTACTTACCAAGAGCATCTAAATTACATTAAAGGAACCCAAATATCTTTACAATCCCCAAGGATTGTATGGTCACAACTTTTGAGCACTTCTAATGTTCAGAAATTGAGAGTGGAAAAATCTGACACGCCCGACGAACTCTAAATGCTGTTTCACTCCCTACATTCCAAAACAAGAGTTAATCTGAACTCATCTCTCAGGAATATGCAGACTTTAATATCATTGTTAATTCTCAAAGGAAAGACTCTTCAATATTAATAATATTACTAACATGGTCAGTACTGTACTGAGAGCTAAACGTTAATTATACAACCTTTACTATAATGTAGATTTTGGTATTAGTTGATAAAGGCGATGCAGATCATACAATTGTCTGCAAGTCAGGGATCCTACAAAAACTGCATCTAAATTAAGATCTAGACACATCTTTATTTCATGCAGTTATTCAAATGCCAAGTCATTCTATCACACCTATTTGTGTTAATTCCTTTGACGATATAGATCCTTATAAAATAAAATATTGTTAGTCCATATTGGCTAGAATTCTGAAACACTGACGTATCCGAAGTTCAGGAAGGTTTATTTTAAAGTTATATTATATTAAACAACGGCATTAACTTATAATATTTTTATGCCATTGGTCAGCATAATGTTTTGGTTAAACAACTGAGCTACGGATCGGGAAAACATGGAGGCACCCCTTTCAAACAATAGTTATTCTAGACAATCCACTTCATGAGCTTACCATAAATGCAATACAGGAGCTCATGCTAACTTACCTTACATATAACAACTAGAGAATCCAGTTACAGGTAGTCCTCGACTTATGACCACAACTGAGCCCAACATTTCTGTGGCTAAGTGAGACATGTGCTATGTGAGTTTTGCCCCATTTTACGACCTTTCTTGCCCCGGTTGTTAAGTGAATCACTTGCCATTGGTAAGTTAGTAACCTGGTTGTTAAGCGCTTCCGCGTTGACTTTACATGCTTATCAGAAGGTTGCAAAAAGTAATCACGTGATCCCACAGGACGCGGCAATGGGTCGTAAGTGTGAACCGGTTGCCAAGCATCTGAATTTTGGTCACATGAGCAAGGGGATGCTGCAAAGGTCGTAACTGTGAAAAATGGTCATTAGTCACTTTTTTTCAGGGCTGTTGTAACTTTGAACTGTTGCTAAATGAACTGTTGTAAGTCAAGGACTACCTGTACTTATTTTCCATGCTTCACAGTGCTATACGTTATTATGCTGGCCATCAGGTTGTTACACAAAGATTGGTCCTTCCTTTTCCCACCCACTCATTCGTCATTAACTAATAGTAGGGATTGAAACTGGGCTCTTCCTCATAAAGAACGACTAGAGGGCCACCAAGTTATGGGCTATGCTAATAAACTAGGATTTTGAATGATGATCAAAGCTCAGTAAGAGATTTATATATAGAGTAGAATAGAACACTTCATTTGGTCACATGTGTTTAGACATACAAGGAGACAAATTTCTTGTGTGTCTAACCACGCTTAGCCCAATAAAAGATATTATTCTATTCCAGTGATGGCTAACCTTTTTGCCGTTGCGTGCCAGGAGCGTGGGGAGGTCGCTCACATGCGTGCCCACACCCATAATTCAATGAGCCCTGCCCCCGTGTGCGCGCCCCCCCCGCTTTTAGCACATGATGGCCCGGTGGGCCCGGTAGGCCCGTTTTTCACCAACCCCAGGCTCCAGAGGCTTTCTAGGAGCCTGGGGAGGGCGAAAACAGCCTTCCCCACCCCTCCCCGGAGGCCGGAAACAGCCCATTTCCCAACTTCCGGTGGGACTGGAAGACCCAAAAATCAGCTGGCCGGCGCACGCCTATGCGCTGGAGCTGAGCTACGGCAACGCTCGCGTGCCCACTGACACGGCTCCTTGTGCCACCTGTGGCACCCATGCCATAGGTTCGCCATCACGGTTCTATTCTATATGTACATCATTTACTCAGGCTCACCTGGAAAGCATCCGTAAGAAAATAGAGGAATCAACACAAGCCGTGGCAATTCTTTAAGCAGGTACTATAATAAGAATAACCCAAGGAAATTAAGGACAGGAAACAGTCCTATCAGGTAGAGCCCTAGAGAGCAACTGGGTCAGGGCAACTACCACTGTCAAAAAATAAAATAAAATGCATGAACGAAATGAAATAGTCAGTAGGAACCATGATCAACACGGATGCCTTTCTCTCTCACACACATTTCCTATACTGTACAGGTAGACAAAAATGCCAAACTCAGTCTGAACATCTGGTTCACTGTGTGATGAATAATAATAGTAATAGTAATAATAGTAATAGTAGTAGTAATAATAACAGGGTGGATAAAAATCAATGATTTTTTTAAAAAAATCAAAAAAATCAGATTTTTTTTAATAAAAAACTTTTGGGGTAAAAATCTATCGTAAGATAGTTTTCTATTTAAGATACATAAATATTTTAGTTTATTCAGCATGAAATGGAGCTGAGTTATGTAGCATGAGGCTGTGTATTCTGCAACACTGGGACTATCGGGGAGTCAACAGCGGGTCAAAGGAGTAGCAGAGATGACAGTTGCTCTTTAAAAATTATGATTTAAATCGAGTTGATTTAAATCAAGCCTTTTTACTAGTGATTTAAATCATGATTTAAATTGTGATTTAAATCAACTCGAGTTAAATCAAATCCACCCTGAATAATAATAATACAGATTTGCCTATCCCAGGTCCTTGGTAAGGACTCAATAGGTAGACAAAAATGCCCAACCCAGTCTGAACATCTGGTTCACTGTGTGATGAATACTAATACTAATAATAATAATAAAATGTATCCAGTCAGTAATATTTGTGATACATTTTTAAATGTTCAGTTGACTGAGTTTCATGTTTAATGAATAAGTTAATAATAACAACGCTGTCAAACATCCAGATTTGGCTATCCCGGGTCATTGGTAAGGATTCGATAGGTAGACAAAAATGTCAAACCCAACCTGAATATCTGGATGATGATGATTATATACTTTATTCATTAAACATGAAACTCAAGTCAACTGAACATTCAAAAATGCATCACAAATACCACTGACTGGTGCTAACTGGTGTTTATTATTATTATTATTATTAATTATTATTATTATTATTATATACTTTATTCACTAAACATGAAACTCAGTCAACTGAACATTCAAAAATGCATCACAAATACCGTTGACTGGTGCTAACTGGTGCTTATTACTATTATTATTATTACTATTACTATTATATACTTTATTCATTAAACATGAAACTCAGTCAACTGAACATTCAAAAATGCATTACAAATACCACTGACTAGTGCTAACTGATGCTTATTAGTATTATTATATACTTTATTCATTAAAGGTGCAACTCAAGTCAACTGAACAGCTGGCAGCAACCCCTACCAACCATCAGTGCCAGTCAGTGGCATCACTTGCCACACGTTTTTAAACGTTCCGTGGACTCGAATCTCATGTTTCATGAATAAAAATAGATAATAATCATAATAGTCATATTAATCATAATAATATCGAGTCCTAATAATAATAATAATCATAATATCAATGAGTCCTAATAATCATAATCATAATAATATCAACAAGAGTCCTAATCATAATCATAATCATTATCATTAAGTCCTAATAATAATCATAATATCAACAAGAGTTTTAATAATAATCATAATAATAATCACAATAATAATATCAATAAGAGTCCTAATAATAATCATAATAATATCAACAAGAGGTTTTATAATATTCATAATAATCATAATAATATCAATAAGAGTCCTAATAATAATCATAATAATATCAACAAGAGTCCTAATCATAATCATAATCATATCAGTAAGAGTCCTAATAATAATCATAATAATATCAACAAGAGTTCTAATAATAATCATAATAATAATCACAATAATCGTATCAATAGAGTCCTAATAATAATCATAATCATATCAACAAGAGTTCTAATAATCATAATAATAATCACAATAATCATATCAACAAGAGTCCTAATCATAATCATAATAATATCAACAAGAGTCCTAATAATAATCATAATCATATCGACAAGAGTCCTAATAATAATCATAATAATATCGACAAGAGTCCTAATAATAATCATAATAATCATAATAATCATATCAATAAGAGTCCTAATAATAATCATAATCATATCAACAAGAGTCCTAATAATAATCATAATAATCATAATAATAATCATATCAATCAGAGTCCTAATAATAATCATATCGAGTCCTAATAATAATAATCATATCAATGAGTCCTAATAATATCAATAAGTCATGATGATAATAATGATGATAATGATAATCATATCAATAAGTCATGATGATAATAATGATAATAATCATAATAATTATAATAATATCAATAAGTCATGATGATAATAATGATGATAATAATAATCATAATATCAATGTCATGATGATAATAATAATGATAATAATGATAATAATAATATCAATAAGTCATGATGATGATGGTGATAATGATAATAATAATAATAATATCAATAAGTCATGATGATAATGATAATAATAATATCAATAAGTCATGATGATGGTGATAATAATGATAATAATAATAATCATAATATCAATGTCATGATGATAATAATGATAATGATAATAATAATCATTAATATCAATGTCATGATGATGATGGTGATAATGATAATAATGATAATAATAATAATGATAATAAGTCATGATGATGATGGTGATAATGATTAATGATAATAATATCAATAAGTCATGATGATAATAATGATAATAATAATATCAATAAGTCATGATGATGATGATGATGATAATAATAATAATAAATAAAGTCCTATTTCATTCCAGGCAGGGGCTGCCCGATTCCGCTGACTAATCCCAGCCCTCCAAGAGCGTCGGGGGCTCCTGCCAGGCCTCTTCCATCTCTTCCATCATCCCTCACAGATCTTCATCCCTTTTATCCATCCCGGGGATCCACACGACCCGCTGGGCCCAAAAACAAACCAAGTTTCGGGGTTTGTTTGGCATCCTGGCTTAACGTTGCCCCCCCCTTCCCCTTCCCCTTCAACCTCCCCGCCCGGAGAGCCTCTCCATGCCGGGCCCCGTTGTCCTCAGAGCCGAGGCCCCACCCAGATCCGGCACCACCTCATTCTCCTCAGCCGCCGTTGCTGCAGCCTCGCCGGGCGGGGCCTTTTTTTTTTCCTTTTTTTTTCCCCTCAGACGCTCGTCGGGCCTTACATTGTCAATGACCACGGGCTGGTTGGCGATGATATCGTAGGACTCCATGGCCGGGGGCCGCTGGGCCTGCCTGGCCGAGCGACGACTCTGGACCGCCCGCCTGCCTCACCCGCTGGAGCTCCGCCGCCGGGCCCAGGGAAACACCACCCAACCCCGCGCACCCTAGCTTGGGGGGGGGGGAGGCAAACAGGAGGGGACAAAGGTAGATGGACAAGCGCCCTCGCCCAATCGGAGGCGGCGACGCCTCAGCGGCCTCTCGCGAAACGGGCGGCGTTTCCGCTCGGCGGTCCGCCGGCGATTGGTTTTTTCCTCCCCCCCCACCGCCGCGGAAGGCGGGACTTCCCGTGTCAAGTTCGGTGGAGAAGACGCCGAAAGGGAGAAGGGCGGGGGCGGGAGGGGAGGGAAATGATGTCATGGTCCGTTCTTAAAGGGACAGCGCTGTATTTTTATTTTTTTTATTTGGGGTTTGGGCTTTTTTTGGGGGGTTGGACTCGCCAGGCAGTCAATGGGATCGAGGCTTGGGGAAAGGGAGGAGGTTTAACAGATTAATAGACTGGGAAATAATAGAATAGAATTCTTTATTGGCCAAGTGTGATTGGACACACAAGGAATGGAATGGAATAGGAATAGGAATAGGAATAGGAATAGAATAGAATAGAATAGAATAGAATAGAATAGAATAGAATAGAGAATAGAATAGAATAGAATAGAATAGAATAGAATAATGGAGAATAGAATAGAATAGAATAGAATAGAATAGAATAGAATAGAATAGAATAATGGAGATAGAATATAATAGAATAGAATAGAATAGAATAGAATAGAATAGAATATTCTTTATTGGCAAGTGTGATTGGACACACAAGGAATTTGTCTCCAGTGCATAAGCTCACAGTGTACATGCATAAGATACATGCATGTAAATCATAAGATACCTAGAGTGTTGGCTACTCATGTCATCTTAGTATCTGAAAATTAGATAAGTTCCCTCTTCTATTCCATGTAGCTTTAGACCCATTAAAGATTACTCATTGAGTATGGTTTGTTAGCCAGTTACAAATTCAGCTGGTGGTAATGCTATCTACCGCACTTGTTTCTAGCTTACCAAGAATCGAATCGAATCAAATTCTTTATTGGCCAAGTGTGATTGGACACACAAGGAATTTGTCTTTGGTGCATACGCTCTCAGTGTAAATGTTTTTTATAATGATTTTAAATACATTGTGAGCCGCCCTGAATCTTCGGAGAGGGGCAGCATACAAATTGAATTAGGAAAGAAAAAGAAAGAAAGAAAGAAAGAAAGAAAGAAAGAAAGAAAGAAAGAAACTAAAATACATTCCTCAAGAATCGTAAGATACAACACTTACTGATAGTCATAGGATACTAATAAGCAATCAAATCATACTAGGAAACAATAAAAAGAATATAAGCTGTAGAGATACAAGCAAAAAATAAAAATTATTATATGTATATGAAATCTTAATCTGTTCACCGTCCTGAGTCCTTCGGGAGAAGGGCGGTATAGAAATTCAATAAATAAATAAATAAATAAATAAATAAATAAATAAATAAATAACATGCGGTATAGAAATTCAATAAATAAATAAATAAATAAATAAATAAATAAAATGCGGTATAGAAATTCAATCAATCAATCAATCAATCAATCAATCAATAAATAAAATGGATATAGCCAGAAGTGGGAAGAGATAGGTCGTAGCAAGGATGAGGATGATGGAAGATGGAGTCCCACCTTTGGCCAGGGCGCTGGGGGGGGAGGGTTACGCTTGTGCGCCCCCCATCCCCCCATAGACACCCCTGGGCTTCCAAGAGCCCCTCTCCAGCATCCCCCTTCCCGGCGGGCTGCCGCCCGCTTGCAGAAAGCACGAGCCGGCCCAACGGCGGCTTTTGCCGGCGCGTCTCTAGGCGGGCCCGGAAGCCGGGGAAGAGGCCGGGTTTGGCGCCGGCGAGAGCGCGCGGGTTGCGCAAGGGCGAGCGGCCTCGCCGTGGGGGTTCATCCGGGTTTTGCGCGCTCCTTCTCCGCGGCGGGGGAATGCCCTGCGGGGGGACGCTGAGCCTGGCATAACCGCGCCGGGGTTTCTCGGGGACCCCCTTCCCACGGGAGGCGGTGGAGATGGCGGCGGCGGCGCCGGTGGCAACGCTCCAAGAGGCTTCGGAGAGGTGCGTCTCGGCCGGGCAGGGGAGGATGGGACGCCTGTCCTTGAGCCGGACGCCCTTCCCCATCATCCCCAGCCAAAGGGGACCGGGGAGAGGAGCCTCCCCTGCGTCTTTCCCAGCCGGCCGCCTTCCCAAAGCTGCTCGACCTTGGCGCAACCAAACCGGCTCTAATGGAGGTCGGAGGCGTTGGAGAGGCGGATTGAGCCCCTATTTTGCGCACCTACCCAAAAGGAGACCCCCTTGTAGGGGGACCTGGAAGTCGCCCTTTTGCCCTGCAAACGGGGCTCCGGATCGGTTTAGGGGTGGCCAAATATCTACCCTACATAACGTGGGCTGTGCGCGCTCCTTCCACCCGTGGGAACGGTCCCTGCGGGGGTTTCTTTCATGGCCAGGTTTTGGGGCGCGTAATTTTGGAGCGCGTAATTTTGGAGAGGTGGGGGGTACAAGAAGCCAGAGTGGGATGGGAGCCCATTCAGTGGCTTGCATGAATATGTGTTGTCCCTGCAGGATGGGGATGAGTGGGTGGCTATTATTTTATTGTTATTATTATTTTATTATTTTATTGTTTTTTTTTAAATTATTTTTCTTGTGTGATGTTTTTATATTTCGTGTAAGTCACCTTGAGTCGCCAATGGGCCAGGAGGCGGCAGTACAAATTTTCTAAAATAAAGTAAGTAAGTAAATGAATAAATTTGCCCTAGCCGCCTTCCGGGAGGGGGACTGGTGCAAGGTCACTCAGGTCATCCAGGAAGGGCAGGATTAGATCTCTGGGCTCCCTAGCTGGTTTCTAGCTTTTATTGGTTTTGGGGTTTTAAATTGGGAATTTTTTGATTTTGTAGATTGGGATTTTAAATTGGGAATGCCGCTGATTTAATCTATTTTAGTTTTTTCTTAACTTTTGGACTATATGGGTTTTAATTTCTGGCTGTCCACCGCCCTGAGTCCCCCTGGGGAGAAGGGCGGTATATAAGATAGATAGATAGATAGATAGATAGATAGATAGATAGATAGATAGATAGATAGATAGATAGATAATAGCCTGATGACCCCACTGCACCAAACTGGATTTGCCCTACTTTCTGTTGATCACTGCATCTGCTTCCTCTCTTGGGCATCCACGCATGGAGCCTTGGTAGTACAGTGGTCTAAAGCACCCTGTTATTAAGAACAGCTGCCTGCAATTACTGCAGATTTGAATCTCGCCAGGCTCAAGGTTGACTTAGCCTTCCATCCTTTCTAAGGTAGGTAAATTGAGGACCCAGATTGTGGGAGCAATAAGCTGACTTTGTATAAATATACAAAAGGATGAAGGCTATTGCTTAGCGCATTGTAAGCCGCCCTGAGTCTCCGGAGAAGGACGGCATATAAATCAATTTTTTTAAAAAAAAAAGAGTCAAAACTGAAAGATGGAGAGGATCACGTTGACTCCCAGTTACGTTATGCAGATGTTTATGGGGCTTGTCAGTTATCCAGGTCGTGGTTGTCCCCAAAGGTGCTTTTTTCCGAAAGGCAACTAGACTTTCGGTTTGTTTTTTTTAGACTTGGTTTTTTTTTTTTTCTTCCTTCACTTCTCATCCAAGAAGCTTCTTAAGTTAGTTAGAACTAACTCAGTTAGAACTGGAGAAACTTTTGGGATGAGAAGCAAAACAATTTCAGTGGGAGGGAAAAAGCACCTTTGGGACATGTTATGCAGATGTTGGAAGACCCTTTGGGTAAAGAATTGTGTAGTGGGACAGATGTGCCTATAGAATAGAGCAGTGGTCCCCAACCTTTTTATCGCTGCGGCCCGCTGAGCGCGCGCAGGGGTAGGGGCACGGCCCAGGAGCTTTTGCGCACGGCCCAGTGCGCAAAAGCGGCCGGGGGACATGAACGCTGCAGCGCAAAGGCTCCTGGGCCGTGCGCTGCAGCGTTCATGTCCCCCGGCCGCTGCACGGCCCGGTGCCAGGTACTCCACGGCCCGGCACCGGTCCGCGGACCGGGGGTTGGGGACCACTGGAATAGAGGACCCAGGGATTACAAATCTTCTCTTGAAATTTCCTATCCCGTCTGCTTTGAATAGTAATTTCCTACTCTCACCACGTATCTCCTAATGGTATCACACTGGCATCATCAAAAATGTTTTTAAAAAGGAAATAATTTCAGAAGGTTTAGGAGGTGGGAAATTCTTGAAGTCCAAACATCTTAAATTTGTAAATTTCAGATAATCCTGGGTTGGTCCTTCCACGCCCCGCCAATCTCACAGGAGATAAACAACTATTAGGAAAAGATACTATAAACAAATATTTCTCACTTTAAAAGTCTAAGAATATAAACATTCAGCACTGGAGGGGGATAAATGCTACTTGGTTTAAAAAAAAATGCAAGAGAAATTGTAATTCTCAAAGCAGACTGCAGGATTAAGCTAATATAGTACAATTATGAGGTTTTGCATGATTTCAGAAGAGAGAGAGAGAAATCCCAAAGGATAGGAGAGTGTCTTAAGTAAAAGTAAAACCTTTAATTTGAGGAAAATGTAAAAGGAAAATGATAAACTTGATTTCCTATCTTATATATACACAACTCTAAAAACAATGAGGCTTTCCTAGATCCACACCAAAAATGCACAAATCTCAAACAATTTCCTGACTAAATCTTAACTTGTTTGTATCGAAAATGGATTACTCCTAAATCATTTTTTTCAATGATTCAATTACCTGGACTTTCCCCAATTTCTGAAACTTCCAACTGAAGTTGGAAGCTGTTTGGAGATATATAAACCCAATATTTAACGTTTGTTCCCACCTCTGTCCTCCAACTTCTCAAGTTTTCTCCTAAGATTTAAACTCTGCATATCCAACAAGGGAGAAGCTGGGGTTATCTGCCTTTGTGTATGTATATCAGCCACTAGGTTGTTGCCAAGTTCCGTTATCATAAGGAAAAGGATTTTGCCGGCTGGTTTGGTCTTTAACTCTTGAACGTCTGTTGGTGTGTGTGCATGTGGGACGGGGACAGAACACTTCTTGGATGAGAAGCGAACAATCTTCAAAAGAAAAAAAAGAAAGAAAGTCCAGGTGCCTCCTGAAAAAAGCACCTTTCGGATAACCCTGACCTGGATGACTGAGAATCTCTACAGACATTTAAGCTGGTTATTGCGTTCCTCAGATTTCTGGTTCATGCAGTGCATTGAGCCACGAATTAGCCAAAGAGCTTTGGATTGCGTATCATACCGGCCTACAAAAACTAACCATTGCAGGGTATACAAATTGAATAAGCAATGAAATAAATGTTGTGAAAACATTACTGCTTGTCTCGACATGCAGTAATGTGTGATGTGAATTGCAATCCAGCAAACCACGTTTTAACCTCGCGTGCAACTTAAATCCAAGCTTGTACGATTAGTTTATAGTTCAGTGAACCTTAAGAAAGATAGAGCAAACTAAGGTTCACGTAATTATCATAGGTGGCTCTTTCACACAAATTTAGCTTCTTTTTAATTCCTCCACATGATTTATCTTTAGTATGAAAGAGTCATCTTAGACTCAGTTGAGAATGTTAGGGAAGTGTTTTCTTTCTGGTTTCCTTTCTAGGATTATAAAGGTTTCGTTTTCTTCTTAATAGTGAGGATTTCTTCTTATGTGTATGGTAAAAGAAGTTAGTAAATGATTAACAAGAAAGCATTTATTTTATTTAGTTATTTTTATTTTATTGGATTTCTATACCACCCTACTCCCGAAGGACTCAGGGCAGTGAACAGCCACAGAATAAAACACATAAATACAAAAATTTAAAATAGAATAAAAACGAATTAAATAATTTGGCTGAAACAAATTTAAAATACCCCATAATTTAAAACAAATTAAAATTTACATTTAAAAAGGGGAGAAGATTTAGGCCAGGCCAGCTTGATGAAATAAAAAAGTCTTCAGCGCGTGACGGAAGGCGCGCAGATCCGGGATCCTCCATATCTCCGGGGGGAGCTCGTTCCAGATCGTAGGTGCCCCCACAGAGAAGGCTCTCCCCCTACGGGCCGCCAGTCGACATTGTTTGGCCGACAGCACCCGGAGGAGCCCCTCTCTATGGGAGCGTACTAGCCGGTGGGAGGCTATTGGTGGTAGCAGGCGGTCCCGTAGATAACCAGGTCCTAAGCCATGGAACTTTCTTTGACTTTCAACTCCGTAGCTTTGTTACAAGGCACATGCTTGATTAAAAACGTCCCAATCCATGAAATAGTAAAAAATAAATAAAAAAAGCCAGTAAATCATATCCTTCCCTCTGCCAGCATGAAGGCACATTTCCTTCTGTAGTTTTAATTCCCAACATGTTTTTTTAAAGCATCCTTTCCATAGTGTATACACCGTGTTTCTCAAAGTCAGCCATTTTTAAGATGTGTGGACTTCAAATCCCAGAATTCCCCAGCCAGCAATATTGGCTTGGGAATTCTGGGAGTTAAAGTCCATACATCATAAAATGGCTTGACGTTGAGAAATGCTAGTAACATTTTTTTTTTCTTCCCGCGAAGCTGGATAACTCTTGTTTGTTGACGTATAACTGACATTTCCGTGCTGAAAATTTCTGGCTCTCAATTCCCACGTGGGAGACGGCTAGAAGGGCCTATTACGCATGCAATGGCCAAATTGATTAATGGCATATAAAGGCAGAGATCTCGGTAATGGTAGTTTAATACTCTGACGAAGTCAGCAGATGGCTGACAAAAGCTTAGTAGAATAATTTTTTTTTAATTTTTTTTAAAAATTTAAGTTCCGGAGCTCGCAGAATGTCTGCTTCTTTCTTTACACACACACATGTATGTATGTATGTATATAGAAAAGAAGAATATATATATAGAAAGAAAAGAAAAGGTAGAACTACTAAGTGTATTCACCGCCTTCAGTTGACCGACATATATATATATATATATATATATATATATATATATATATATATATATACATTACATCACATTTATTGACATACATATTATTACATATATTGGTCAACTGAAGGGGGCGGACATACTTAGTAGTCCTGCCTTCTCTTTTTCCCACAACAACAACAACCCTGTGAGGTGGATTGGGCCAAGAGAGAATGACAGGCCCAAAGTCCCTCAGCTGGCTTTCATGCCTAAGGTGGGACTAGAACTCACCGCCTCCTGGTTTCTAGCCCCCTGCCTTCTGACTCTTGTTAAAACCTTCCAAGGCAAAAAAAACAGCTGAGATGGCGCTTGAAATCATGAGGACATGTGTGGCAAAACTTGGGATACGTCGGGTGTGTCTCGTTCCCAATTCATCCCGTGCCTAAGGCGCGGTTACAAACTTGCGAGACCAGCTTTGATATCAACATTTTGCAGCCCTAGAGTTCATTATAATTATAATGAGTTTGTTCAAAATGCTTTGCAACCTTTTATTAATGCGAGAAACCGGGTTGACTTTGGAATCAGATTCAAGTCCCACTCTTTTTTTTTTTTAATTTGATTTATATGCCGCCCTTCTCCGGAGACTCAGGGCGGCTTACAATGCGTTAAGCAATAGCCTTCATACTTTTGTATATTTTATACCAAGTCAGCTTATTGCCCCCACAAACTGGGTCCTCATTTCACCTACCTTAGAAAGGATGGAAGGCTGAGTCAACCTTGAGCCTGGTAAGATTCGAACCAGCAGTAATTGCAGGCAGCTGTGTTAATAACAGGGTGCTTAGACCACTGTACTATCAAGGCTCATGGGACAGTGCAAGTTGTTCTCGGACCAGTTGGTCATTTAGACTCGGCACAGCTCCATGCCAAAAGTGGGTTACTAATCCCGTCGCTACCGGTTCGCTCGTGGAAGCTTCTCCGCACATCCGGGTGGGGGGGGCCGAGCTTCCCACCACCGCCGCTACCAGTTTGCCTGACCCGGGGCAAACCGGTAGCAACCCACCACTGCTCCATACCCAGTCTGTTTATCTAGTTTGAACTACCGTATTTTTTGAATATAAGACGCACCTTTTTCCCCCCTAAAAGGGGGTGAAAATTTAGGTGCGTCTTATACACCAAATGTAGCCCCGCCCACCCACTGGCCCCCACCCTTTGGCCTCTGCCTCCCAGCAGCTACCTTCTTGCAAGCAAACAGCAAGGAAAAAAACATCTCCTTTCAGCTTCAGCACAGCCTAATTAGCACAAGTTGATTGGATCGGCCTCCCGACTCTCAGCTGATTTGCTCTCAGCTGTTTTGCGCAGGGCTCTGCTGCTTGCTGCAAAGAGGTGAATTGCTGGAGCAGACTTTTTTTTCCCCTTGTGCTAATCAAGCTATGCTGAAAACGAAAATGAAAGTAAAGCAGGCTGTTTGCTGTTTGCTGCAACCAGGCAAAATTGCGCAGAGGCAGAGGGAGATTTCTTTTTCTTCTTTTCCTCACCAAAAAACGTAGAATACCCAAACTGGCGACCTCATCCGTGCTCGTCCTTCTTCTGATGATGGTACCACAGAGCATTTGTACGCCTTCCAACTCCATGATTTTTGCCCAGTCTCTGCCTCATTTTGGCAGTACAGCATATTATTGAAAAGCCAAAGGCGTTCGGATCAAGAATTGTGCATACTCTCTTCTATAAAAGACCCTTCAAGCTGCAGCTGTCAAATTCCCTGCCAGACATTTGGCAATTGAGGGATGGTTTTTTTTTTCTGGAAGCAAGAGTTATCCAGGTGCCAAAAGTTAACCAGAACAGGGTAAAAAAAGAATCCAAGGATAGTTTCGGTGCCGTGCAGAATCTCATCTGTAACCAGCTCCCCCCGGAGATACGGAGGATCCCGGATCTGCGCACCTTCCGTCGCGCGCTTAAAACGTTTTTATTTCATCAAGCTGGCCTGGCCTAAATCTTCTCCCTTTTAAAATTTTTAAATTTAAATTTTAAATACTAATTTTAATTTGTTTAATCATGGGATATTTTAAAATTTAGCCAAATTGTTTAATCTGTTTTAATCTATTTTAAATTTTGTATTTCTGTGTTTTATTTTTTGGCTGTTCACCGCCCTGAGTCCTTCGGGAGAAGGGCGGTATAGAAATTTAATAAAATAAAATAATAAAATAATAAATCATATACAGTTGGCTTCCTCCACCACTTTCCCTAAGATCGACTGTACATCTCTTGGGGCGGGAATCTCCTAACTGTCTCCCTCCAATTATTTATCCCAGGAAAGATTTGAGCCTCCTGCTTGATTTGGAAGCTGTTCTGACTCAGCTCCCCGAACAGGCCAAACCCTCTGTAGGTAACTCAATGATTCCTTTATTAGGAGCGCCAGCAGTCCCGGCAAAAAGTCTCTCTCTCACCGCAAGCTAACAAGCCTGTCCGGCAGGGAGATAAATAGTTGTCTGCCACACCTATTGATCTCCACCTCCTGCCTTTTATCTCCAGAGTTAGGGTGGGGCTTCGCTAGCTGCGGTGGCTCTTCCTTCCCAAGGACCGGCCCATAGATTTCCACTGCTCTCCTCTCCTCTGCCTTCTGTTTATCTGCGCGTCAGGCACTGGACCCAGCTGTTCCTCCTCTTCCTCGTCAGCCACTCCAGATTTGGGGGCTGTTGACTCTCCATCTGAGGGCTGACGGACGGCCCAGGCTCCGCCTCTCTCTCTCTCTCTGTCAGCTCCATTCCTTCTTCCCCCTCGGAGCTCTCAGCTTGCCTTGATGCTGACCCTCACTCCCACTCCTCCTCCTCCTCATCTGATTCGGCTGTTGCAGGGGCCGGCGGGCCGACAGGCCACAACAGAAGCGCAAAGCGGCATGTTCCTCAAAGGAAGCGATCACTCAGCGTTCCTTCAACGCTTCCTTTCTCCTTTTCTCTCTCTTTGGTCTCCCAGGCATTGCTGGGTGTGTTTTGCCACCGAAGGCGATGACCGGTCGGCAGAGTGGGTCTGTCCTTGTCGTTGCAAAGGATCCACCAAGTGGATCCACCAGGCCTGCCTCCAACGATGGCTGGACGAGAAGCAAAAGGGGAACAGTATCGGCAGCGTGAATTGTCCCCAGTGTGGAACTGAGTACTGCATCGTCTTTCCCAAAGTTGGTGAGTACAGAGCTGGCCAGCAAAAGGCCCAACCGCCGCTGGATAAATGCACCCATTTGGCTGCAGCAGAATAAACACAGAATTTCCTCCCAAGAGTCCTAAAAAAACCAACCCTGCTTGCCAAACCTCTGTTTGTGATCTCCACCAGTTTGGTGAGGCTTGCACAAAATGGATACACTGGAGATTTCAAGCATGGGCCTGTTTCCGGCCTTTCTGAACTTCCGGTAGGCCCGTTTTTCACCCTCCCCGAGCCTCCATGCGTGCCCTACACTTAGCTACATCCAAAATGGGCCACTTGGGGATTCCTGGGGGGGGGGGGGGTGGGGGGGGCCAGCCAGAGAGTGGGGTTTGGGGGTTCTCCGAACAGCACAGAATCTTAGCTAGAGGTTTTCCCGAACCCCCTGGAGCCCACCCCAACACCCACATGTCCATCACATGGTCCAATCCAAGCACCGTCCCAACTAGAGATGCCTCCCAGTTCCAGCCGTCCAGGTGCAGGTCAAGATGTCCTTGACTCTCTGAGAAAGGAATGTTATTTTGACTACATATTACCCATGCTCCATACATTTCCCCCCCCCCCTCCCAGTTTCCCACAGTAGGAAATGTGGCAGGCCTGAAGAAGATCCAACGAGAAAGATGGCTTCCAGGCCTGATAGACTTCTTTTGATGTTTGGTTGTCCCTTTGTAGGGCCCGTGGTCTATTTCCTGCAGCAAGTGGACCGGATTTTATCCAAAGTCAGCCCTTTTGCTGCTGCTGGCATTGTGGTGGGGACACTGTACTGGTCGGCAGTGACTTACGGAGCCGTGACTGTGATGCAGGTAAGACTTGACATGGCAGCAGGAGACACTGCCCTCCCTTCCAAGCCCCTCAGCAGAGACCCCCCCCAAAAAAAATCACTACGTTGGTCTGCAGAACACAATGAAGTCCAGAGCATTAGTTGATGAAATGGCAGGATCAAAAAAACCATTGGAGAATTGATACTCTCCATCAGGATTAATCTTCTGCACAGGGGTGTCTAGGAAAAGTGGTGCGATAGCCTAGAGGTGGAGCTCTTGCCTCACAATCTGGAGGCTGTGAGTTCGATCCTAGGTAGAGGCAAGATATTTCTCTCTCTCCGGGCACTCTGAGAATATATCTGCTGAATAAAAACTCCACTCTGCCTCTTGATCTTCCACAGGTGGTCGGCCATAAGAAGGGCCTGGATGTGATGGAGCGAGCCGACCCCCTCTTCCTGCTCATGGGGTTGCCCACCATTCCGGTTATGCTGGTACTGGGCAAGATGATCCGTTGGGAAGAGTACGTGCTTCGAGTGTGGCGGAAATACTCTAGCAAGCTTCAGGTCCTGCATTCCTGGGTTCCAGGTTGGTGTGGATTCGTCTTTTGAGTTCTGGGCTCCTGCTTTGAGGTGATAAAGATAGGGATGTTGGGGGGGGAGGAGGGGAGCTGATTTCTTTGCAGGCTGAGGGACATCTGGAAGTGGGCTGTGGAGTCCATCCGGTTCGCAAATCTGAGCGTGCTCGCACACACCCGCCTCCGCGCATTTGCAAAGCCTTCCACACATGCGGAGAGCGTCAAAAACAGGATGTGATGACGTCCGGGCGGGTGGGCGGAGCGTTCCACAGCCGCCACTACCGATTCGCCCGAACCGGATAGAACCGGCTGAATCCCACCACTGGTCCAATAGTCAAGATGGCGGCAGAATCCTCCTTGGCTGTGAGTTTGACTCACGAGAACCGTGTTTCTCAACTTGGAAGATGTGTAGACTTCAGCTCAGATTAACAGAGTGGGAAGGGACCTTCGAGGTCATCTAATCCAATTCCCTGCCCAAGCAAAAGAGTCTAAACCAGTGATGGCTAACCTTTTTGCCATTGCGTGCCAGGAGCGGGGTGGTGGTGATTCCCACCGGAAGTTGGCAAACTGGCTGTTTCTGGCCTCCAGGGGGTGGGATGTTCTGTCCCCGTCTCACACACATACACAAACAGATAGCCGGGGGTTAAATAAACTGGCAGACAACCAATTCTTCCGATAAGACGCTTGGCAGCAACCCAGTAGCTGCTTGCCAAGAACTTTTACTCAATAAACAAAAGACACACAGTCAAGAATTGTCCAGTTCGTAAAATAAATCCAAGGCCGATAATGTTGTTTCCAAAGATTCAGTGTGACTCGATAGTAGTTAGTTTTGTCCGTCACAGAATCTGAATGGCCACCTCACCCCCTTTTATACCCTGTGGGGTGTGGTCCAGTGACTCAGCCTAATCTCTGGCACGCCTTTTCTTCTGTTGCGCGCGCTTATCTCTGCGACACTGCCGAGGATCCAGCCAAGACTCATTTCCCTCATCACTGTCCACCTGTGGCTGCGTGGACGTGCTTGGCCCCGGCCCTATCTCTTGCCCTTCGGCGGACACCGAAGGCATTGCCAGAGAGGAGGGTCCTGGAGAGGGAGGCCTTGCCAACTCCTCTCCTTCACTCTCGGAGTCCTCTCCTGCCAATGACACAGGCTCAGGTAACGGAGCCACAACATGGGGAAGGCCGTTTTCACCCTCCCCAGACTCCTAGAAAGGCTCTGGAGGCTGGGGTGGTAGCCAGAGGTGGTATTTGCCGGTTCTCCAAACTGCTCAAAATTTCCGCTACCGGTTCTCCAGAACCTCCTGGATTTCACCCCTGGACCACACCCACCCTAGCCCCCCACCAAGGTCAAACACAACCCTGATGCGGCCCTCAATGAAATTGAGTTTGACACCCTGCTTTAGAGTGATCTATTCTCCTGGGTTGTTTTTTTTTCCCCTCTCCTCAGGAACCAGCCGCCCAATCCCATCGATACCTCTGGCCGAGTCACGCTACCAGAGCGACCATCTTTCCATCTCGCGCACCTTGTGTGGGGCCCTGGTGTTCCCAACTATTGCCAGCCTTGTGGGCCGGGTCACATTTCAGAGAGTTAACTCCAACCTCCAGCGTACCATCCTGGTGAGTCAGGCGATGAACCGAAAGAAAGCCATGATGGGCAGCGTTTAAATGTTTTGGATTGCCTTCCGGGGAACTGGTCCCAGTTCAGCCCAATTGCACGCAATAAGAAGTCTCTTATCTTTTCCTATTGAGCAATTCTCTCACCTTCTCCCCTCCCTTCCTCTCCCTCTTCCTCTCAATTTCAATTTTCAATTTAATTCAATGTATATGCCGCCCCTCTCCGAAGACTCAGGGCGGCTCACAATATATTTAAAATCCTAATAAAAAACATTTAAAAATTAAAAACATTAAAAACTCATTCACACCATTCATGGCCGAATCTCGCCAGATCGCAAGAGCGAGATCAACGGCCTCAGGCCTGCCGGAAAAGCCAGGTCTTCACCGCTTTTCGGAAGGCCAGTAGGGTGGGGATGGTCCGGACCTCAGGAGGTAACTGGTTCCAGAGAGCTGGGGCAGCCACAGCGAAGGCCGTCCCCCGTGGGCCCGCCAGCCGGCATTGTTTAGCTGACGGGACCCGGAGGAGACCAAGTCTGTGGGACCTTACCGGTTGCTAGGAGCTATGCGGTAGCTCCCTCTCTCTCCCTCTCCCTCTCTCCCTCTCATCAACACACATACCCAACACTGTTCTGACCCAGCTCCCCAAACACGACAAACCCTCTGATGTGAACTCAAAATATTCCTTTATTAGGAGTGCCAGCAGTCCCTATCTCACAGGCTAATAAGTCTGTCTGGCAGGGAGATGAATAGTTGTCTGCCACACCTATTCATCTCCGCCCCCTGCCTTTTATCCCCAGAGCTAGAGTGGGGCTTCAGTAGCAGTGGTGGCTCTTCCGTCCCAAGGACCAGCCCATAGATTTCCATAACTCTCCTCTCCTCTGCCTTCTGTGCATCCGTGCCTCAGGCACTGGACCCAGCTGTTCCTCCTCTTCCTCATCAGCCACCTCCAAACCTGGGGGCTGTTGACTCTCAATCTGAACTCCACCTCTGTCTCTCTGCCAGTTCCATTCCCTCTGGAGCTCCCAGGTTGCCCTGATGCTGACTCGTGACTCCCACACTTCCTCCTCCTCCTCTGATTTGGCTGCTGGAGGAGCCGGTGGCCCAAAAGGTCAACTAAAACCTAGTCCTCTTTCAGCAGTCTCCATTGAAGAAATGTAATGAGAATAATCTGGAGGAACACAAGGAAAAGCCACCGAGTCAATGGTCGGATAAAAGAGATCTGAGTCTGGGCCAGAACTGTAACCTGGGAAAGCATTTTCAGATAAGACTCGCCCTAGTCTCACAGAGATAAAAGGAGGAAGCGCATTTACACTTGCAAGATTGAGATCAGATCTTCCAGGCAAATTAGGCTGGGAAACCAAAGTCAGACAGGCTCATGCTGTTTATGTAATCGAGCTAACAGAATCCGGCAACTTGGAATATGCTCCCCCCTCCCAATCTTTGTCTTTGTGAGAACTAGGGAAGGTCTTTGCCTGAGCTTCTTTCTCAGGTTATAGTTCTGGCTTAGACTCACATTAGCTTTACCTCTTTCCATTTTTAATGTATGCCGATTAGCGTACATTCAAAACTTACTCCATTCCATTCTCTTTCGGTAGGGTGGCATTGCCTTCGTGGCCATCAAGGGAGCATTGAAAGTTTATTTCCGCCAACAGCAGTACTTAATCCAAGCCAACCGGCGCATCCTCAACTTTGCGGAGAAAGAAGACGCGGAAAAGGACTTGGCTCAGCCCGAGGAAGACAGCGGCAGTGAAGTAGGGCTCAGCTAGGAAGAACAGTCACAGCTTCTGCAGATCCCTCCGTTCCCCCCCCCACCCCCCACATTCCCATCCAGAATAAGCGAATTCTTCTCTAAGAGAGATTGTAACTCATCCAGCATCTCTTTTGAAGCAAGTGCCTTTTCGGGCAACCCAGATGTGGCTGCTTTGTGTTGTGGGGAGATGCTGACTTGAGGTTGGGTGAGCCAAATCTCTGCAATCTTCTCTTTATCAGTAAACAATGCTCATTTCCAAGCCAATTCCATTTTGTGTGTGTGTCTTCTGACCAGCTGCCCTTCGCTCCATGCCATCTTCTGTCTTCGCTCCGCTCTGAATCCCACCTAGAATCTGTCCTTCGATCTCTCTTTAGACATGGTAATTTCAATAAATCAGTCATAAGCTCTTCCTTCCCGCTATGGAATTCCTAGTAGGACTTTTCTTGTTGAAGGAAAGATGCTGGGTTGTAACATGTTCATAATTTGGTAGGGGAAGAGAATAAGAATAAGAATAATTTTATTTCTATACCGCCCTTCTCCCGAAGGACTCAGGGCGGTGTACAGCCTATTAAAAACACAAGACAACATCAGTTAAAATAATTTAAAATTATTAAATGAATTCGGCTCAATTTAAAACCCCAGGAATTTAAAATTGTTATGTTGATAGCCCGTGGGGGTAAAAATGGTAGCCATAACTCTGCAACCAGAGTTTATTTTTTGCATGCATTGCGATGTAAAACTGGACTGTTAAAACCCAGTGCTCCCTTCCTGCTTGCCTTTCTTCTTCTTATTATTTTATATAGAGAATTTATATGGCTGCCCACTCACTCTCGGTGACTCTGGGTAGCTTACAAATTTTTTTTTAAAAACCCAAATATACAAATGGAAAAAAAACAACAACAGGATGGGACTAGACTAGAACAGGGGTCTCCAACCTTGGTAGCTTTAAGACTTGTGGACTTCAACTCCCAGAATTGGGGATTTGAAGTCCACAAGTCTTAAAGTTGCCAAGGTTGGAGACCCCTGGAGTAGAAGACCTCCAATCTCGTCGAAGGCCTTCCATCTCTGTTATTCTGTTATTCCTTTTCAACCACTAGATGGCGCTGGCAGTTTAAAGACTATCGTGGGATTCTCTCCAGTTCCCGGCTTTAGAGGCCAAAAAAAAAAAAAAGTGACCAGGTTCGAAGCTTGCCAGATCTACCGCAGTTCATTTTGCGGAGGAAACGTCGTTTTTATAATGTTTTATGAAACGTTATTTCCCAGCGGAACTTTCTTTCGAAGCAACGGCAAGAGAAGCTTCCCAGCACATGATTTGTCCAGTAGTACATAAGATGACATTTCAAGTGATCAATTCACACACCCATCTGTACTTTTCTGGGGATTTCCTGCTTGGTAGACAGAGAGAGAAGACAACATCTAAAAGAGATTGCCTAGCTTGCTATCTTGAACTAAAGGTAAAAGGTAAAGGTTCCCCTCGCACATATGTGCTAGTCGTTCCCGACTCTAGGGGGCGGTGTTGATCTCCATTTCAAAGCCAAAGAGCCAGCGCTGTCTGAAGACGTCTCCGTGGTCATGTGGCCGGCATGACTCAATGCCAAAAGCTCACAGAACGCTGTTACTTTTCCCACCAAAGGTGGTCCCTATTTTTCTACCTGCATTTTTTACCTACTTTCAAACTGCTAGGATGGCAGAAGCTGGGACAAGTAACGGGAGTTCACCCCATTACGCGGCACTAGGGATTCGAACCGCTGAACTGCCGACCTTTCGATTGACAAGTTCAGCGTCTTAGCCACTGAGCCACTGCATCCCTTTTTCTTGAACTAAGCCACTGCTTAAACATGATTTGCTGAATCCCAGATATTATCCAGAGATTTGATCAAAAGGCAGTCTGTTTGATGGATCCGAGTAAACGTTTCTAATTGGGTTCGTGGAGTTGCACCGAAGCTTAAAATCCATCCAGGCAGGGACCTCAAAAACAATTGGGCGATTTTTCAAAAGGCAATTTTGGAAAAATCAAATCAACCCGGCTCCCCGACGGATTTGAATGGGATTAAATGAGAACAAGTCCACCATCCGAACGGAATCCATAATTCGACGCTGAAGGGAGCTGATCCACGCATCCCGATATTTTATTGCGGCCAAACTAGATCAAATGAAATTTAATCTCTGTCATGACCCACCCATTTCTTTCTTTGGAGTTGAGAACTTGGATCAAATTACTCTGTCAGAAAATTAATCAAATTTCCTGACAGTGAGAACAATTAATCAGTGGAACAACTTGCCTGCAGAAGTTGTGTTTGCTCCAACACTGGAAATTTCTAAGAAGATGTTGGATAACCATTTGTCTGAAGTGGTGTAGGGTTTCCTGCCAAAGCAGGGGGTTGGACTAGAAGACCTCCAAGGTCCCTTCCAACTCTGTTATTATATATATTATATACTCGATCCGGAGAAAACTCTACCATCCAGGCTGATTTTTGGCTACACCTTGCCAGATTGTGGTTTCTGTACCTCCTAACATTTTCCCTATCCTTTCCAAGCAGCCTCAGAATTCCCACTGCCAATCATTCTTGGAGATCTCTTCATGCTGAATTTCAATCTTTTTTGAAATTTTCAACCCCTCCCCCCCTCAACCAAATAATTTCTGTATCTACCGTATTTTTTGGGCTATAAGATGCACCTAAATTTAGAAGAGGAAAAGAACAGGAAAAAGTTCTTGGCCTCCGCATGCCCCATTTTTGGCCCTTTTCCAGCCTTTTTTTTTTTTTTGGCCCATTTTTTTGACTTTTTTCAGCCCGTTTTTGAGGCTTTTTTCAGCCCGTTTTTTTCCAAAAGAAATGGGCCAAAAATCCTCAAAAACGGGCTGAAAAAAGCGTTGAAAACAAGCCAAAAAAGCCTCATAAGTGGTCCGGAAAAAGCCTCGAAAAGGGGCCAAAAAAAGCCTCGAAAACGGGCCGAAATAAGCCCAAAAAAAAAAGGCCAGAAAAAAGCCTTGAAAACAGGTAAAAAAGCCTCGAAAATGGGCCGAAATAAGCCTTGAAAACAGGCAGTGGTGGGATTCAGCTGGTTCAGGCCAATTCGGGTGAACCAGTTGTTAAATTGCTGGCTGGCCCCTCCCCGCCCCTTCTGGGAGTCCCCAAGTGCCCCGTTTTGGCTCCTAGATAAGTGCAGGGAGGTATACTAGGCCCAAAACAGGGCGCAGCACCCCTGCGGCCCATTTTTTGCTCCCAGTGGGGTTCAGGAGTGCTGCCTGTCACACCCCCTGGCCACACCCACCATGGCCACGCCCACCCAGCTGGTCATTAGGGCAGAGAACTGGTTTTTTAAATTACTACCACCACTGTTTTAACCCTACTATTCTATGTTTTATGATGGAAATCAAGAAGGAAGTACATGGAAGATCTCTTCTCCATCGTCAAATTGTCTCCGGTGAATTGGCTACTACACCCTTGGCAAGGAAGGAAGGAAGGAAGGAATTAATTGAAAACCACAGTTGCTTTTGAAAGGCAGCTAAGGAAACAGCAGGGGAAGGCAAAGCGAGTTCTACTTTCTTTTACTAATATTGGCTTTTTGCTCAGGAGGGAACCTGCTTTTTTGTTCTCATTAACTGGGGAAAAGTGACCTATTCTTCCTCTGATTCTCCCCCTCCGTCCCTCCATCTCTTTCTCACACTCTCATACACCTGCACGCACACACAGAGCAAAATTGCAAACACCACACACACACAAAATCATAAAATTAAATCTGACAATCTCCTCCTCTGGAGACTCTGTACTTACCCGTTTAATAATGTCAGTTGCTCAGCACTCGGGAGCTGGATTTTCAGAGGCTGCTCCACTGAAGAGTTTGCTTCGAACTTCTGATAGCTGCAGGGCATCGCTCCTGACTGCCTGCCTCCAAAATTAACACCGCCGGGACGTTTGAAAGCCGATCATCTTCATTTAATGACCCCATAATCCAACAGTGGGTTCTACTTACCTTTACTACCTCTTTGCTCGCGCGCGCCCGCAGTCTTCTGTGCAGATCATCTATGACGGGTCAGCAACCTGCGGCTCGCATGTGGCTCTTTCACCCCTCTGCTGCGGCTCCCTGTCACTCAAAATATGCATCACAACCGCCAATGTATGACACCTGCCGGCACACGATTTATTCAATTTTTCAACCCCCGGTAGAGGCTAACCATGGATAAATCCAAGAAAAGAAAAGTTTCAGAAGAAAACAGAACGTTTAATTCAACTACATATGCTAGTTTTGTGGCCACTCAAGAAATAGTCAGGCACGGGAAGGGTTTTGTGGCTCCCGGTGTTTTCTTTTCGGTGGGAAACGGCTCCAACTGGCTCTTTGAGTGTTTAAGGTTGCAGACCTCCTGGGCGGAGCCTCCTGCCGGTTTTACTACCGGTTCTTGCGAACCGGTCCGAACCAGGGGCAACCCACCACTGCCATAATCCCTTGCGGGGTGGAGCCTGGGCAGAGGTGGTATTCTGCTGGTTTGTACCAGTTCGGGCAACTGAATGGAGCTAGCAGAGTGTTTTAATGGCCGCATTTCACCCCTGGAGTGGTGTGGCAGACAGAGGCAAGATGGGCGACCTGGCAGTGAAGCCACAAAGAATATGGAATGCAATGTGTTCCTTCATCCCCAAACCTCGTTTACTAGCAGAATCGTTCCTGCAAAACTTTAAATGCGGTTTGAGGTTTAGCTTTAAGGCTCCAAATTGCCCCTTCCATTCCTCTAAATGTGATCTTATCTGCATTATCAACATCTCCATAGGGTGTTGTTCAGAATCAGAAACTCGGTACGCAGTGCCCAAATTGTTATTCTCCTTGGCAACTGTACCACACAGTAAGCCATGTGATTGTCAGAGATCCTGGGTAGTGGCAGAAATGTCTCTCCTTAATTTGAGTTTCAGTTGCTGCTGCCCAGGGATGAGAAGCCAAAAGCTCACGCAAGAATGAGAGGAAAGCAGAATAGCAAAATAAGGCAGCCGATTATGCCAGCCCCAACATCTGTTTGCAGCGTCAAAGAGTTCAATAAAGAAAATTGCCTCTGAGCAGGTGCAAAGACTCTCTTTTTCCAGTCTGCACAATTTTTTTGGCCGCCTGTCTGGCCTTCCGACACTTAACATTCCAGAGAAGGCTTTTTCAAGGCAGATGAGAGCGGTTTCCAACTGAACAAGTTTTATAACTTCCTGGCATCTGTCTGTCTGGAATTCAAGGTCAAGTAATGCACTCAAAGGAACCATTTTTCATAGGCCGTAAGGCCGGTGTTT